ACGTCTCCCTTGAACTGCTTGCAGAGCGCTCGGACGATGGCCAATCCAATGCCCTTGTTACTTCCGGTCACCACGGCAACCTTGATCGACATGTCTGCCAAAGAGAGAGAGAGAGAGGTCAGTAGTGTGAAGTCGCACATTGAACACACGGTGAATGAAACAGAAAAACAAACACACGCCATCTTAAACACACAAAGCAGCCTTAAGACTTCATTCATTATCAAGTAAACTCTGATGTTATCAGGAAGGTGGATTTGGCTGAGTCATGATGACAATTTCAGGGAGAAAATTTCAAATACATTTGTGATGATATGAATGATACAGAAAAACATGATTAATGCATTTAAAAACCTTGAAACAACATTTGTTAGTGACATAAGACACCAAAAGTAAAAATGTGAGCATTAAATCTGCTTTAAATTATAATCAATATACAAGATGCGAAAGGATTTCTATTTAAAATAAATTAATCGTGAAAAGAATAAACTACTTTCAGCTCTGTGATGCAAACCTGCTGGTCTTGAAGAATTTTGCAGGATCAGTTTTGTAGCTTTGACGTTAAATTAACCTTAAATATGACAGATAAAGGGTAATTTAAAGAGTTCAATTGGCCTCTTTCTTATGCATTTAGCTTGAATGAGGTAAATGTGTAATAAAACCCATAATAAACTTCTTCTACGTACTTCCAGCTCTGTTGTGACCTTTGATTCTGATGCAAACTTGCTGGTTTTGCATGAATTTTGCAGGTTAGCTTTGCAACCTGTTTTTGGTGAATTAGCCTTAAATATAACAGATGAAAGGTGATTTACAGACTTAAGCTACCGGCTTTATGATGCATTTCGCTTTATCACGCGAACTTTCGCCTCCTGCTCCTTCTACGTTACATAACGCTGACTTTCAGTTTTCGTTATCTTCAGATGAAGCTGCTAAAACAGAAAAACACGAAGCGAACTAACGNGAGGCTGTTCAACTCCTGAAGACACTGAAGAAGACGACTTTAGTGGTTTTAGTGCAGGAGGAAGATGAAGATAGCGATCAATGACTTTTCCTGGTAGGCTGCTGTAGTGTTTATTTTCTTAACCAGCTGTGTTACAGGCACTGTTCAGAAAAAAGCATTTACGTATTTGTGTATGGTACTGCTACGTATTTAATTAAAAGTTTAAAACATCTTTCTGTGTAAATATCTCATGTTACAACGTGGACACCTGCAGCTGATAGACAAGTGAGGCCTGTATATGTACAAAACTAGTTTTCTTTTTAAAGTCAGTGGGTGCAGCTTATATTCAGGTGCCTCAATAGTGCGGAATTTAAGGGAACTCATCCAGGTACAACTTTATTTGCTGCTTGATAGCGAAAAGAAAACTTGCACGTTTCTCAATTCCTATTATTTATAAGGGAAGTCTGTCTGACAGAACATCATTTAATGTGATTTAAGTTTAAGTCTATTCACATGTGTACAAAAAACTCAGCAAATAGGAGAATTATACAAAAAAAACTAAGTTCTGTTATAATAACGCAACGTCACTCGCATGGAAAATACTTCAGCTTACTGCTGTACGAGGCAACACAATTCATTTATCTGACGATTTAAATCAGCAGCACAAAACTCTGCATGACGAGTGCAAAGCCACATCTAAACGACATCCAATTCCAAAAAGTGCACGTGTTAAACGGGTCCAAACTTTGCTTGTAAAGTGATTTTTTTATTATTGCTGCACAAAATCACCTTGTTCATTCTAGAAAGATTAACTCTTTACATGCAGACTGATTTGAGACTTAAGATGCAAATTCAGTGTCAGTTTTTTCCAGTTTTGTGCAGCCGTAGTTCTGATATTATTCTCTAATTTGGATATTTAATAAATACTTTTTTATTTAAAAATAATAACTGCCAGTAACTGTGCTGCTGTATGATTTAACACTGATGAAAGACTTAAGATTGGTGCTCATTTAAAGTCTACTGTGTAATGTATCTCAGCTGTAGTCGAGACTTTCTGGCACAAAAATGTCCTTTAAGTTTCATAAAGTTTATTTCATATTAAACATCATAACACTCGTGTTTTTGTGGCTTCAACGTTCACTGATGTGTCTTAGTATCCTCACCTTTGCAAAACACTCCGGCGTTGTTGACGAGGACGTCCACTCCTCCGTACTTCTCTTTGAAGAAAGCGGCTGCAGCTATGATGCTGTTCACGTCATTGATGTCCAGCTGGTGGAACTTTGGATTCAGTCCCTCCGAGGACAAAGACTTCACGGCCTCCTCGCCTCGACCGCTGCAACAGAAACAAATCCTCACATTTACTTTCGTTCTATTTTTATAACGAAGCAGATCAGACTTTCAGTGTTTTTCCAGTTATTCCCGCTTTGTTTTTTGATCTTAAAAAACGCATTTTGAGCCACTCGAAGAGATGAATAATCTGCCAGAGTTCTGATTTTTGTGCCTTTTTTAGCAGGTTTTTAACTGGAAAAAGGCAAAAAATGATGAAAAAAGCAACAAATTTGCAAGTTTTTAAACACTAAACTCTTACAAACTAGAAAGACGTGTCCTTTCATTCATGAATATTACATTTTACCATAAACTTTAGATTTGAAACCAACTCTTTCAAGAGTATTTGTTTTACAAAATAGCACAAAACATTAAAAAAGATTTAAAAAAAGAGTTGAGATAAAATCGTGCACATTGCGACATGTTTGATGCCTAAAAATCAGATTCTCCAGATGTGAGGAAACATGCTTGTTTCAGCAGAGAAGAGAATAAATTACATCAGAAATCACCAGATGTGGAGAATAATGTACATTCAAAGAGAGAGACTTTACGAGGGGGCGAAAAATTATGATAAATGAGATAAATTTTGCAAGAACCAATCAGAACTACAAGATAAGCAGAGTTTTTTTAAATGCTAAACTCTTTATAACTAGAAAAACTTTTCCTATTATTCATGAATATTACAGTTTACCATGAATTTAGGGTTTGAAGCCAAGTTTGAGGGTTTTGTCTAACGAAATAGCTCAAAACATGAAACAAATGAATGCACAGGCACCAAGCCGTGCACGCTGCGACATGTTCTGGTGCAGGTGTGACCAGGTGAGTCACCTACACGTCTCTGGACATCAGGTAGACGTCTCCCTTGAACTTCTTGCAGAGCGCTCGGACGATGGCCAATCCGATGCCCTTGTTACTTCCGGTCACCACGGCAACCTTGACCGACATGTCTGCCAAAGAGAGACACAGAGGTCAGGAGTGTGAAGTCGCACATTGAACACACGGTGAATAGTGATGGAAAGTTCTTTTCAAAGAGCGGCTCTTGTGGCACGGCTCCCAGAGAAGAGCCGGCTCTTTCAGCTCCCAAACGGCTCTTAATTTATTGTCATCGGTATTTTAGCCTAACTTGGCAAATATGAACACTTTGTGCGTTGATAAACCCTTTTGAATTTAGTGTTTTTATGAGAAGCCTTATAATGACCTAATTTTGTGTATTTTTATGTTACAAAAGCAGGCATTCTTACTTTTAATATTTTAATTAAACTTTTAATCTTAATTTAACATGACAACAAATGAACAAAACACTGCAAACAAACCAACAGAACAAAACTCAGTTCAAACACCAAACAGTATGTCCGTAGTGCAGGTTTGCATTAAAAAAAATGAAATGTCTCAGCTTGGCTGGGCTGATACGGTTTCTTCTCTCGATTATTATCTGCCCGGTTTTTGAGAAGATTCTCTCAGAGGGAACAGATGTTGTCTTCCCTCCATCACCTTCACCAGGTGGGGGAAGACTGAGGCCTTGGCCTGCCACCAGCTCAGTGGGTCTTCTGCTCTTTGGATGAGGGGCTCCTCAAGATAGCATCTCATCTCCATTATAGCATCAGCTGTGGCACTAAATCCTCACATGTGATTGGCCACAAGGCCGCCATGCTGCCAATCAAAACAAAGTTCTGCCGTAAGCTGAGCTCAGCCACTGAGCAGCGGAAAAAAAAAAAAAGTCGGGAGCCGGCTCTCACTTGATGGGAGTTGGCTCCTCTGATTCACTTTTGCGAATGACAAATCACTAACGGTGAATAAAAAAAACAGAAAAACAAACACACTCCACCTTAAACACACAAAGCAACCGTCAGACTTTATTAATCACCTCTTTCCAAGTAAACTCTGTGATGTTATCAGGAAGGTGGATTTGGCTGAGTCATGATGACAATTTCAGGGAGAAAATTTCAAATATATTTGTCTAATAATACAGAAAAACGGGATTAATGCATCTAAAAACCTCGAAGCAACATTTGTTAGTGACATAAGACACCAAAAGTAAAAATGTGAGCATTAAATCTGCTTTAAATTGCAATCAATAAACAAGATGTGAAAGGATTTCTATTTAAAATAACAATTTAATCATGAAAAAGAATGAACTACTGTGAACTTTCAGCTCTGTGATGCAAACCTGCTGGTCTTGAAGAATTTTGCAGGATCAGTTTTGTAGTTTGGACGTTAAATTAACCTTAAATATGACAGATAAAGGGTAATTTAAAGAGTTAAATTGGCCTCTTTCTTATGCATTTAGCTTGAATGAGGTAAATGTATAATAAAACCCATAATAAACTTCACCTATGTACTTCCAGCTCTGTTGTGACCTTTGATTCTGATGCAAACTTGCTGGTTTTGCATGAATTTTGCAGGTTAGCTTTGCAATCTGTTTTAGGTAAATTAGCCCTGAATATAACAGGTGAAAGGTGATTTACAGACTTAAACCACCGGCTTTATGATGCATTTCGTTTTATCGCGCGAACTTTCGCCTCCTGCTCCTTCTACGTTACATAACGCTGACTTTCAGTTTTCGTTATCTTCAGATGAAGCTGCTAAAACAGAAAAACACAAAGTGAACAAACAGGAAAAAACGAAGTTTCTTACTTGGAGCTGCTGTTGTTCTGCCGAGAGAAGCTGTGGGGAAGAAGCTGCAGAGAAAAGTGGCCGAGCTGCAGGAGAAAATGAGCAGATATATGGAGGCTGAAGATCAGGAGACAGAGGAGAAGGGGAGCAGGCTGGGAGGAGTTGTGCACAGGACCAGTGCGCATACCCGGAAAAACAAGCGGAACACGTGGGTCAGGGAGCTGAACATGGAGCTGCGGTGGAAGATCAGGATCAGAGGCAGCTGAGGACAGTTTGTAGGTGTTTCATTTGGATTATATGAACAGTGCGTGTGTGTAATTAGTGGGTAAAGTATAAATTGTGTGTTTTGGTGTTGTATTAAGAGAAGGAAGGGTTTGGTTGTATATTGCAGGTTTTCCTAATGTTTGGCTGTTTTATACTATTACATTCTATTATTGTCCATGTTTAAAACACTATTAACTGTGGCGCCTCAGTACTAGTTAGTAGATGCTTGAAAAGCTTTAGATTCTGCAGTTTAAAGCAAAGTGATATGAAACTAAACCTGCAGCGCTGAGCAAGTAAATCTTTGTTTTTTTCTTCAAATTTTTTTCATGTAAAACTGTGTTAGACATTTTAGGTCTTCATGCGGTCTGAAACTCACTTTCATATATGTGAACCCTTTATTATATTTTTGGAGTTGCCCAACAAAGGGGGAGAAAATGTAGATTTTGTAAAAAAGAAAATAGAGATTTCACTGCTTCTCTGTCATTTGGACTCATTCGACCAGGTCCACCTCTAAAAACACTAAACTTTGATGAACCAAATCTGAACTAGATTATCCCTGAGGGGCTTAAGATTCTTTACGGTACAGTTTCTGATTTCTTAAACTTTTTTCTGTTTGTGATACAAACAAAAAGAAATCTTTTCTCACATCTGAACCGCATATAAGAGAGTGAGAGAGAGTGATGTCTCCATCTCAAGTTACTGATGCCAAATCGAAACCAGAAGCAACTTCTTCTGTTCTCATATGCATTTTTTCAGTCTGAAAATAAATTTTAACAAGTAGAGTAAAGGTTTGATAAATCTTAGACTGTGTTTAAGAGATTCTTAAGCCTCTCTTGAATCATCTGGTCCAGGTTTTTGATCTGGACCTGGTCTCATATGGTCAAAAGTAAAGAATTCTCCATATATTTTTTTTTCCGTTTTCACAAATAGAAGTTTTACAAATCAGAGACTGTGTTTTTAGGATAATATTCTCCAGACGTAACAAAACATCTTTGTTTTGTAGAGACTGCAGCAAAAATCACATCATTCTACTTTTGTTTTTTAAGTGAAAAAGAAATGTATTATTTATCTTAATAATAGCAGTAAGATGGTTGAGCCCTTTAAAACATGGAGGAGAATATGTATCAGCTCCACACCCTCAGAAAGTCACCAGATGTGGAGGATAATGTACATTTAAAAGAGTTTTGTTGAAGTTGAGGTGTATTTATTGTGTGTTTTGTACGTTAATTGTGTGTTTATCCACCAACAGGCGTCGTGGGTCCAGGTGGGACGATGACGGGTCGCAGATCCGGACGAGCTTCCAGGACGAGGAGGCGGAAACAAGAAAACTCCCTCCAGTCGGGTAGAAACGAGTCTGTCGCTTTCCAACAGTGTTTGTCTGCTTTGAACTGCTTCAACACAAACATACTTTCTTCTTCTTGTTGTCTTTCTCCGTCTGTCGGTTCAGCTTCTCTGTGTCACCTGCCGCAGTACGTGAAGCTGATGAAGTTCCTCCACCGGCGAGGATTCAGCTCCGCTCTGCTGCAGCCGGCCGTCTTCTCTGGTAAAATGTCTCCACGTCCTCTGGAGTTTCAGATAAATTCCCTTGTTAGCATTTAGCAGCATCAGCACACTCACTGAGAGACATCCAGCTCTTTGATTCGTTGCAGTAGAAGTTGCTCAGTTGTGTTTTTTCCTGCTCTTCTTCACACAGACACCGGACGAGGACTTCAGACTCTCAGAGCTATAAAGGTAATCCAGCTAAAGTTTATACTCATAATCACTGTCACGATAATAAAACTGCATTCAAATCTTGTTTTTGCACACGGCTCACTATTTTTATTACCTCATTGGGATTCAGACACTTCGAAATTTCATTATGCTTTGCATCTTTTCACGTACAGCTTGAACGACAATAAAGGGAATCTTGATTTTGATCCTCAATGTCTGTCGCAAGCCTTTAATTAGACATGAAATATGCAACATTGCAGCTTCATCGATCTATTAAAGCCCCATATATACACGCAGTAATAAACAAGGAGCAAAAAAGAATATCAGCTCATCAGAGTGTCTAAATAACTAACAGCTGAGTTTATTTATGATTTATTAAACACAACTTCTGCCCATGTGTGATGATGTTTTAACTACTACTTTACAAATAAAGTCATGAAGGAAAAATCTCATAACGAATGATTCACTTCAGCTGATAAACTTTGACTCTTAGATTCTGATTGATCCCTATTTATAGTGAGAAGTAATCCTAAAAGTTACTGCTGTGGTGCATCTTTGGAGACGCTCATCCTGCTGCTGTCTGATGCTGATGTTTAATAAACCCAGAGGCAACAGTCCTGAACAGCTGGAAGCGACAGTTAAAACCTGTTTTACATTATCTGTGAGTCTCATTCATCTGACCTGTTACGGTCTTTTTCTAATTGCAGTAAAGTTTTGTTTTTATAATAGATGTGAGAAAAGGGTTTTTGGCTAAATATACAATTTTAATTTAACGCGCTCAAACTGTATTTATAGAAAATATAAATATTTGTTGATATCAGGATTGTTTTAATCCAAAAAAATCTGCATCAGGCCCCAGAAGTCCAGCGTCATTCAGGCTCTTAATAGTATAAATATAATAAATGACTGAGTTGTTTTAAAGAAGAATCTAATTACAGTTTTCGACTTTTCGACGCAGTGTTTCATTTGCTGTATTTATTTGATTATTTATGTGTGTGTATACATAAAGTATATATATACCGCTTATTTACACTTTACACTTATTTTTATTTTTTTAAAATTTCTTTTCTTCATTGAAACTTGAAGCTGGTCCAAAATACATTTCACTGCACATTGTACTGTAAATGAATGTGTATGTGACAAATAAAGCTTATCTTATCTTATCTTTACAGACAGAAGGTTGAGTCCAAAGTTCCTCCAGAGTGTATTTAATATCTGATATTAATAAACAGTCCAGGATCAAGTGTGAACTTTATTTACTTTGGCTTTTTTAAAAGTTTCCTGTGCAAAAGCCATTATTGTACACAGGACTTTGTGTATTTATCAGGACCGACCTCAGTATGACGAGCAGATCTTCACTTTTCTGCAGCATAAATTCTGCACATGCTTTATTTTAGATGCTATTTTTCAGCCCAGATCTGTTTTCTATATGTTCCTTTCTCCATCTTACTTGTCTTTTGCGTTCTTGCCTGCTCTGTGAAGCGTCTTTGAGTCTTGCAAAGCACTTTTTAAGCACTTTTGCGTATGATATTAAAGCGTTTTAATCCTCGAAGCTCTATTGAAATGAGACCGATGGTGTTTGAATGTTAAGCTCTTCATTTCAGCCAGGTGAGGTGCTGATTTCTCTGCCGGAGTCGTGTCTCCTCACGACCTCGACCGTCCTGGACAGCTACCTGGGAGAATACATCAAGAGGTGAGAGGAAGATGTCAGAATATTGTCATGTTCGGGCAGTTTTTACAGTAAATCCTCCTGTCTCTGACCTGCAGGGTTTTGTTTAGGTCGTCACGTGTTCAGACTGGCTGTCACCTGTATTCCTGCTAACCGGTTCTCAGGTGAGATTAAATCAAACTGTTTCTCCGTCCACAGCTGGAAGCCTCGTCTTTCTCCCCTCCTGGTTCTCTGCGTCTTCCTGATGTGCGAGCGCCACCGAGGGGAGGCCTCTGATTGGTTCCCCTACATCCACCTGCTGCCCGCCGCCTACACCTGTCCCGTGTACTTCAGCGACGACGTCATGGCCGCCCTGCCCAGCTGTTTGAGGAGGCGGGGCTTAGAGCAGAGGGAGGCGGTGCAGGAAATGTTCTCCTCCAATCAGGAGTTCTTCAGGTGAGTCGGGCTGCAGCAGGTTCTGCAGGTTCTGTGTTAGAACGGATCAACAGAGTTTACTCACACAATCAGCTCCAACAAATCTGTAGTTTAAACAGCATTCGATTGGTCGTGTTTCTGGTCAACTCGAGTCGTTTATACATTTAACAATCAGATTATCATTGTTGATTTGTTTAACAAGGTAAAATAATGAGGTTAAGTTACCAGACGGATGAAAATATTAACATCAAAACTCTACAATATTTTAAATATTACAAATTAGTCTGACTCATTTCAGTATCAAGATTAAAACCTTCAAAACTGACAGGCTGTATTAAAACAAGCTTACTGGACTCATAAGATAAGATCAACTTTATTAGTCTCTCTTCTGGAAAATGTAAATATTCAGGTTAAGACTAGGTGTCTCGGTGGTTAGCACCATCGCCTCACAGCTAGAAGGTCGCCGGTTGGCGTCCCGGTGAGGACACCCGGGGTCTTTCTGCGTGGAGTCTCCATGTTCTCCCCGTGCAGCGTGGGTTCTCTCCGGGTTCTCCAGCTTCCTCCCACAGTCCAGAAACATGCTGAGGTTAATTGGTGATTGTAAATTGTCCGTAGGTGTGAATGTGAGTGTGCTTGGTTGTCTGTCTCTAAGTGTAGCCCTGTGATAGACTGGTTACCTGTCCAGGTGAACCTGCCTTCACCCTGAGTCAGCTGGGATAGGCTCCGCCCCCCATGACCCTGGTGAGGATTAAGGTGGAGAGATGACGGATAGTTAAGACCTTTCAAAATTATGCATAATACAAGTTTGCCTGATTTAAATAATAAAGTTAATACACGACAATATATACATATATTGATATATTGTTATGCAAATATGCTTGACTAACATAAATGTTAAGATGATATATCACAAATGTATCCAGCAATTAAAATATTAGGGTCAAAAATGATTAGGGACTAAAATAAATATTAAAGTTAAGACCCTACAACTTAACATATATTAGAAGTCTAACCTGATTATTTCAGATATTATACAACTTTATCAGACTGAATGAACTATTAAGGTTAAAACCACATAATATTATTAATTAGGAAAATATCGTTGACTCATATAAATGTTGTGGTTACAATCCTACAAAATGACATAATACAGTTTTACCTAATTGCAGTGAAGACCGTACAATATTGTCAAACATACAAATTACATGACTAATTTAAATATTAAGTTTAACATATAGTACAGATTCATTTTAGTAAATTAAATATTAAAGGTAACACCCTATATTAGTGTGTGATGTAAATGAACTTCAATAACTTCAATGTTGAAGGTCACAAACCTGCAAAATTATATATTCTATAAATGACTTGACTCATTTCAAAATGACGTTAATTCTAAAATATATATATATCTATATGGAAAAGAAGAAAAACTATTTTCAAACATTTTTTGTTGCTTGAAATGCATCTAAATATATTTAATTTTCCAATGAAGCTTCTCATTTATGTTCACATGTGAATGTTGTGGTGTTCCAGGTCCCTGCAGCCGGTTCTGAATCGGCCCACCGAGGACGTGTTGACCTACGAGGCTCTGAGGTTCAGATCTTCTTGCCTCTTTTTCAGGTTAAGTTTTCAGTTCGTTTCAGTCCGTCTTTGAGAAAATGAAAGCCTGTTTCCTCCTCCGTCAGGTGGTCCTGGTGCAGCGTCAACACTCGCTCCGTCTTCATGTCGCGTCCCTCCAGCAGCTTCCTGTCCGGACCCGACCGCTACGCTTTAGCTCCGTTTCTGGACCTCCTCAACCACCGAGCCGACGTCCAGGTGAACAGCATCTACTGGTGTTTCTGTCCAGACTCAGAATATAGATGAGCTTCCTGCGCCTCATTGAAACTCTATTGTCCTCAGGTTAAAGCCGGTTTCAACGCTGCGACCAGGTGCTACGAGATCAGGAGCGTCGGTGGGACTCTTCGCTACCAGCAGGCCTTCATCAACTACGGCTGCCATGACAACCAGCGGCTGCTGCTGGAGTACGGCTTCGTGTGCAGCAGAAATCCTCACAGCGTGGTCTACGTGGACGCAGGTAAGCTGGGCGCGAGAAGTCTGCATCAGAAGCAGCTTGAACGCAACTCACACGAATATTTAATGGAAAAACACGTTTAGTCTGTTAAAAAAACTAAAAATCTAACATCGTAGCACAGATGAATGTGTTAAAAGCGTTTATTCCCTCAGATCTCCTCCGTGAGGTTTTAAAAGCCGACAGGAGTTTGGATCAGAAGATCAAGTTCCTCAGAGAAAACAGCTTCCTTCAGTAAGACTTTACGACCTGATTGATCTTTAAACCTTACTAACAGTTCTTCTACACGCTGTTTTGTGCATCAGCTAACTCCAGATTTGTCTCCGTCTCTGTTAGAAACCTGACTTTGTCCGGCGACGGTCCCAGCTGGAGGCTGATGACGGCGCTCCGACTGCTGTCGCTGCCACAAACACTGTAGTAGGTTCACGTACAAACACCCTCATGTTGAAAGTTTCATCCCTCCGCTGACTTCCTGTCTGTTTTAGGATTAGTTTGAAGGTTTTCTCGTTTGTTTTTAAGGTTTTAAACGCATTAGCGGCACCTTAAGCTCCTTACAGACGTGCACGCTGTTGGATTAATCTGACAGCAGCTGGATTTTGCGTCGATGATCTTTTATTTACAACAACTCTGAAGTGCTTACAGTTACATTAGCACATAAATATGCACAAGAATTAGTACTTAGAATTGTATAATGTGATTTGGGAACATTTCAGTGCCCGTATTCATCCAAAACCTCCCTTCAGGCTGTGGAACCTGACGTGCTGCAGCTTTTCATTCTCATTATTTTATCGTCCTTAATTCAGATTTGTCTTGTACTTACTATGTTCTGTGTCCTGTTAGTTTTACAGCACTTTGGTTCAGCTCTTGTTCTTCTTAAACGTGCTTTATAAATACATTCGACTTGTGTGTGAAAGTGAAGCTCCGGCTGCTTATTCTGCTCTAAAATCTACATTTCTATCTCAGATCAGGACGTTTCTTCTGCTCCTTCATCTCCGATGTGCTTGAAACTTTTTTTATTATAAATTATGGATATTAATAAATATATATTTGAAATATTAGACAAAATGTTTAAAAATTGCCCAATTTTCAGCAGCTTTTTTTGCACATTGAGACATGAGACTGTTTGAGCGACAATAACTCAGAAACTAATGTAGTTAAAGCCTGAAACTCTCTGTTATTTCTCATAATGTCAGTTTAGTTTTGTGTTATTGTGACATGCAGCTAAACGTGGTTCAGAAAATATCACCAGTTGACTTTTGCTTCAAGTTTTTGGTTGATGTGCTCAAAGATGGGTCTTTTCTTTACGGCTTCATTTTGTTTTTTTAGATTTTAATTTATTTTCATTTCATTTTCTCACAAAGTATTTGACATATGAAGCAAAAATGTCACACTTATCTTTATAAACATCCATATTTTCCGTTAGAAAAAGTTCTAATCAGAGCTGGTCGAGCAGAAATCGGCCTAAACATTAGAGGATTTGAGATGGAATGACCCATTTGTTTGTCTTGAAATAAACGACATGAATTCTGGGTGTGTTTCTGTGTTCAGCCACCAGTGGAAGTCGGTGCTGCTCGGTCAGACGCTGTGTGAGGAGAAGGAGCGGTGGAGCTTTCAGACAGCCAAGGTTCTCTGTCAGCGACTTCTGCGGGACACATTTACAGCTCTAGATAAGGTGAGCACACAAGGCCGACGGTTTCCCGGCAGTCATCCATCACGTGTCCTGACTGTTTGTCTTTTTTTCTGCTCTTTTAGATCTCCAACCTCCTGCATGAATGTGAGCAGCCAATCAGGGAGCAGCTGGACGTGGTGAGGTCACTGCGGCAGGAGGAGAGGTGCATCCTGGGAAGATGTCTGGAGGTGCTGGAGGAGTCGCTTAAAGAAACCGATGAACTGTTGCCGTGCCGACCGGATGCTGATGCTGTGAGCTGACGTCCGTTGGGTCGGTGATGCTGTGGACTGAAAGCTGAAGGTTTGGTTCCAGCTGCGCTAAAAGCAAAAAGCATCAAATATAAAAAACGGACTCACGTTGGACAGAGCTGTGAGGAAACAGCGGAGCAGCGATCGGACTCCTTAAAGATTCATGTTTTTTTATGTATTTATTTTCAGCAATTAAAAAAAAAACTGGCTTTGATCATTCAGTCGCTGAACTTTGAAGAAGCTCAGAAGATAAAATCTGCAAGAATCCAACACAGTTTGCGAAGGTGCTGCTTGTTATTTGGATGAGTTTACACTGAAAGCATTTTCTAAAGAAACAACCAGAACTGTCGTTGTCTTTTTTTAACAAAAATGTGGATTTTATTGAGTGAGTTCTCAAAGAAATGCTGAGAAATAAACAGTTTGTAGTTTCATAGTGTGAACGCCACCTGATGTCATGAGTAGACGTGAAACATGGAGTCTGAATGTGGTCCAGTGTCTGTGTTAGAGGGACGCTGACTGTTTGTTCCTTCAGTTTGCAGTCAAAGAAACCTGAAGAGCTGAACTACGAAGCACAGTCAGGCTTTCTTTGTGTTAGCTGGCTAAACAAAACCTCAAATCCCAGTCAGAGATAACGATGGTTATCAGCAACCAGGCGCTCTTCTTCAAGTTTGTTTTGCAAGTTCAGTAAAAAGTGCTTTTACTGCGATAGAGTCTGAACTGTCATTCAATTAAACATGACACTGAATGTGTTCATTTTGGTGGAATTAAATTTAGTTTTTGAACCAAATCAAAGTGAGATTAATGTTACTGATAGAAAACTCTGGTTCAAACTCAAAAGCCCTGCTGATGCATTCACTGCGCTTCGTATTTCAGCCCTCAGGCGGACCGGAGACTCACAATGAGGAGCTCAAGGTGTGTTTTTCTGCTTTAACTCAACATTGGAAACAGCTTTCAGTCCCCTCAGAACAATTCAGCGAGTTAGAACAACTGTCCATTGTGACGCTTTAAGTCCGGGACGAGCCGACCCGGTTGAACCGCGGGTCTCGGCAGAATGTGATTATTTCAGATCAGAGCTGAACTGAACAACGGCCTTTTTCTTCGGGTGACGCTGGACAGTCTCCATGGCAACCGTGGCTTCGTAGAGAGGCACCGCTTCCTCCGGCTGAGGTCTGGTGAGACGGAGAGACAAGTTCGATTTGATTAGGTTGGAGCTCCGTTTGTGCGTCATCGAGAAGTCTCTATCAATCTTTATTTTGTGGCTGCAGCGCTGGAGGAGCTACGACGAGCGAAAGCACCGTCGGAACGACAAAAAAACCCAAAACAAACGTTAAATGATTTTTTCAACCAATGTGTATTTTTCTGGGTCCCTATAGGTATTCAACTTTATACGTTCTTCTCTGTCCTGTTTCAACACTGAGTCCTTGAGTTTCTGCCACGTGACTGTCGGTCACAGCTGAACCCATAACGGCTCTGCAGCTGCAGCCAGGAGTGCAGAACTATTTGTTTTCTACAGAATCTGTTTGGTACAAGTGGTTTGTTTTTGGCAGCTTTTTACCTGCAACACAAAGAGTGAAGTGATTTTAATTAAATACGCTTTAAGCTCAGATTTTTAACTAAACAGAATGTCTCAGATGAGAAGAAGAGCTGCCAGAAAGTAGAACATCAGAGGATTCTTTCTGTTTATGCAGTTTCCGACTAATATACGGTGTCATTTTTGTGTTGAATGTCTTTTACAGCCATCTGAGTTGAGTTTGAAGTGTTCTAGTTACCTGAGGACTCCAGTTGACATTTTCTCCACAATATCCTTCAGAATATCTGCAGAAAACTGGGTTAAGGACTCACGAAGACCTGAAAGAGGACCGTGCACGCTTTAGATCTCACGCTGTGAGGATACGGAGGTATCTCCCCTGCTGGGCTGACGAAGCCGTCCAGACTTCAGGGTTCAGGAAGGAGACGGAGGCCGATTTTAAATGCAGTAATCTGCAATCTGGAGGATCCAGCTGCAAAAACATAAAGACGGACACAGAAAGGAGATGAAACTGGGACTGAAGACAGAGCAGGTAAATCTGAACTTCAATCTGAAAGAAACATACTTAGATTTATAATAGATAAGCAAACAAATTGCATAAAAGCAAATAAATGAAACCGTATCGATCAAAATCCTCTATGAGACCTGACATTTCAGTGTGTCGCTGCAGGGAGGTTGTTTTTGTTGGATTTTGTAAACGGTAGCACACAGATCGAGGAAGGAGGAGAAAAAGCTGCCTGCAGCCTTCATGCGATGAGTCACACTACGTAGGAGGAGGCTGCGGACGCGAACCTGATCGCTGAGAAGGTTTAAAGGAGAGCAGTGGTCGACTGAGGTCTGACAGAATTAAAACTGCAGCAGATTCAAACAGGATCAGAAATACTTAAACCGCTGCTCCCATTCAAAGAGAAAATACAAGATGAGAAGAAAAAATATGTCCTAAAAATGTAAACACAAGTAAAAAGTAAGAGCATAAAATTTAAAACTGTATATTGTACGAGGAAAATAAAAATATACGTGTACAGTGTAATAAATATAAAGTTGTGCATTATGAATATTTTGTGCGTTTAAAAGACTTCACAATATAAGTTTTCTCTGCATTTACAAGAATCTGTCTCGTATTAATAGTTTTCTACACAGATAATAAGAAGTTTTATTTACAGAAGAATCTCAACAATATCAACAGTCGTCGTGTTTCACACATTATTAAGAAAAACAAAAGACAGTGTGGAAAAAACAACAAATACAGTTAGAATAATAGGCTGAATAAATAACTAACAACAAGATGACGGGAAAAAAGTGCTTCATGGATCTTTGAATGTGGTTTTTTTTTTTTTTTTAAAAAGGAAGAAATGCAAGATTTATGTAATTTTTAGGGCAAATTTCCGCATCTTTTTTTTTCGCAAAATGTTCCAGTTCTCAACCAAAATCGGGCCAGTTTTCAGAATCTAGTTACTGCAAACTGTTAATCGTAAGTTTTTAAACGAGACGCATAGAATGAAGTAATTTAGATGAAATGCTGCATGTAAACCACTTTCTATAAAACTTTAGGCAGGAATTGGAGCTTGAATGTGGGACAGAAAGAGAAGCTTTACTGTTTAACTGCAGTCAAACCTGAACGCGACTCACCTGCAGGTCCTGGTGCGACGTGACCCAGTGACCTCCGACCCCCAGGACGCTGATGATGTCGTGTTTGTGTGGAAGTAGTTTCTTCTCCTCGTCCTCCTCTTCGTCCTGCAGACGGACTGCACGAACAAAGACATCTTAGCCCTCAAGCAGCCTTTTTACCACGTTCAACATGTGTAGTGAGAAGCGTTTACCTCCAGAGTCTATGACGATGTCCACTCCCAGGCCTCCCGTCTCCTCCAAAACCACCGACAGCAGGTCGGACGAGTCGTTATAAACCGGAATGACTCTGGCTTCATGCACGAACACACGAGGTAATGAGTGATTCTAGCTCACAAAACAGTTAAAACCGACTGATCTCAATGAAAAGTCTGTAATTCTGCTCATATCTAAACCAAACATCTCATCAGAAGCTCGTCTAAGTTTTAAGATTTTGTAGTTTCAGTTACTTATGATGCCCAAAATTCACCATTTACTTGCTAAGTCTTAAAATCCTTAATTTGATATAAACTCTGTAGATATATATGATAGATAGATATGGAAGAATTATTCTGGTAGAACCCTGTTGGCATCCGACAGATGAGAGAAAACAGAGATAGAAATCCAGCAAGGAGGCATGTTGGAAGGACAGAAATAAAAGATCTCACCGACTAAAGGTTCCTGAACACCTGAAGAAAAGACGAAGGCAGGGAGAGAAGAAGAAGAAGAAGCAAAGATGAAAGTGAAGCATGAAAAGAGTGATGAGAAAAAAAGGCAGCAGGACTCAGGTGGTTTTGGAGAAGATGCACTGAACAGACACTGGTGGAGATGAGCTTCTGAAGGCATCACAGTTACTCACCAACGCTGGGCCGGAGCTGCTCCAGAAACGTGTGTTTTTGTGGCGAGTGTGACGTCGTCAGGACCTTCACGCCGTGATAACAAGCCAGCTGGATGCACATGAGGCCGAAAGCCTTCGGAGCAAGAAGAGATGACGTCGTCAGTTATGCCTAGACGCTGAACTTTAACAAATACGTGGCGGATTGTTCTGTGTTTTTACGTACGCTGCCTCCGTCCATCACCAGCAGCGTGTGTCCGGCGGCGATGCGAGCGTGAGTGTGCAGAGCGGTGTACGCACAGAGGCCGTCACGCAACGCTGCTGCGACACACACCGAGCTGAGCTTCTCTGGTTTCTGAACTGGAGAACACAGAAACACATGTTTACTGAACAGCTCACGGTGCCTGTATGAAGTATTTACCCCCTTTGAACGTTTCCTCTTTCATTGCTTTTCAAAACTGAATCATGGTCAATTTAATTTGACTTCTTTTGACAAGAACGCATAAAAAAAAGACTCTTTAATACCAAAGTGATGCATAAATTCTCTTTAATGGTGGAGTTTTTAAATGATATTCTATGAACTGAAGAGGACACTAGAATAATTTTCTCTGTCTTCTTGTCCACATCAGACCGACTCTACAGCTGACAGAGGGACGCAACCTTCCTCAGGTGCTTTTACACTTTTTTCAAACAGCTTTACTTCGGTTTTTTTAAAAGCAGGACATGCAGAGAACAGAGAGTAACTACATAAAAGCTCTCTGCCTGCCGTCGATTACAGCAGACAGGAACAGTTCGATCTTTCCCACAGATCAGTCTGACATTTATTCCTGAGCTGAGACGACAGACAGCAGAGCAGGGTTTTGTCATTTCAAGGAATCAGACGCTCAGTCTGTTTTTGTCCAACATTGTGCAGCTGTGGTCACAGCTACTGTTGTGTGATGTTTGAATCTCACCTAAATAGTGTTCGTCAATGTCGACAGAATCACAGAGTCCAGAGCAGGTGGAGTCCAGAGGAAGGATACCTGGAGAGAGCAGGTGCAGGTAAGAAGTGATGAAATGTGTGCTGGGTGTGGACCATATGGACACAATGACTACTGCAACAACACTTATGTTACAAATATAAACCACAAGTCCAAAAGTTTAACTCATTTCATTGATATTTTTGTAAAATTACTGTTAAAAACAGAGCATATTTAGATTGAAAATTGTGCCACAGTTCAACAATATGTCCAGGCTCTGATGGATAACAATCACAGTTGTCATACATTTTCAATATTTAGACATCGCCAGAAATATTTAAACTAATGGAAACTTCTGCCGTGCTCTCCCCCGTCAGCAAACAAAACATCACAAGCCTGAACCATCTGAACCTCGAAAACAGGGTCCAGAAACTGCAAACACTGAAATAAAAGGTCAAAGTTTCCAACAGTCCCTGAAGTACCCGCCTGAGATTTGTTGTTTCTTTGAAAAACTTAACCAGAACTACGCTTAAAATCATGATATCTCCACAAAATCTCTTTATTCTACAGGTTTCATTTACAAATTCACCCAAAAAATAAAGGGTTTGCACCAGAATTCTTACAAAATAACTCAATAAAACAGCCGTGCACCGTGGTGTAACCGTGAAGCCATCGCTGACTCAGCTGTGACCAACAGTCACGTCACAAAAGTTCAGGAACTTTTCGGGTGAACTGCAGGTTTGTGATAATTCTGATTTTTTATTTTCATTGTTTTCATTTTTTGTAAAATGAGATGCTTCTTTTCTTTTGACTTCTGTCCTTCTAACAGAAGACATTTCTGAGTTGTCTCTCCTTCATGGTTGTTCTGTTTCCATAGAGATGCAGGACTTTGTGTTACAGTGAAACATGAGCCCACGATGAGGAAAAATGTGATTTCATGTCCCTGAAATTCCTTTAACAACATTTCTTACCTACAACTTCATCCTCCGGCTGGAAGAAGGTGACCTTGGGACCAACTGCAGTAGAAAAAGAACACAGATTAGCCGACGAAAGCTGTGCTGACGACGCTCCGTGAGGTCTGACTCACTACTAATCACATGTATTTACTCTGTGAACTGTTTACAACCTTGACGGACGACCCCGGCCACCTCTCTGCCGACTGGAATCAGATCTCTCTGGATCCCAACGTCGCTGAGCAGCTACGAGGGAGGCGGAGAGGAGAGGTAGAACACTTCTGAAGGTTATTTCAGTCCAGCTAAAGTCAGTTCAGTTATCTCAGCTGCCTAAACAGTGGAAGGAGCTTCATGTATGAAGACACATTCACCCCTTTGTGATAACAGATCAAATGTATAGAATTTTATATCAGAAATGTAAAAACTTAATTTTAGATTACCTTTGGCTCAGTCACTGGGATTTGATTTCAGTTAATAAGCTTCAGTTTCACATCATTTTCTTTCAGTTTTCTACTTGAATAATAACAATAACTTTATTTCAATGGCAGTCAAAAAAAGTGCTTTACAATAAAACAAATGTGAAATTAGACAAATAATGAATCCAAACAAAATCCTGTGTGTTCGTTTGTTTGAAGTTTTTTGCCTCCAATAACATCTTTAAGACAACAGTTGTTGCATCAAAGTTCTTTCCAGTAAACATTTGTGGCTGCATATTAACCTAACACGTGGAAATATTGGGTTAAACACATCCTATAGTGTTGTTTATGTTGTTATTTTATCTGAGTTATTTATATATTAGGGATTAAAACCCAACAAAAACTATATTATTATTTACCACTTTACTTGACTGTGACTACATTAAACCCAACAGTGTCATAAATCATTTATGGAGAATAACCGAAGTTAATAACATCGCTACGACCTGCAGTATTATAAACTACAGAACTTACTCAATATAAATATTATGTCTAAGTTTAACATGACTAAGTTAGAGCTAAAGCCTTCACCCTACAAAAATATACACAACAAATCCTGTGATTCTCTGGATCTGCTGTGAACCAGTTTCATCGTTGATTGAACTGCCTTCAGTACCTTCAGGTCCAGCGGGTTCAGTCCACAGGCCTTCACCTGGACTCTCACCTGGTGGCTGGTCAGCACATCCGGGAGAGTCTGCAGACAAACACAGAGCTTTAGAGCCGATCGGTGAGACCGGGGAGACGATAACATACAGATATTACAGCAACACACACTGAAATAAACTACCATGCTTCTTTTTGGTGTAATGTCAGCACATTCATAGCTGTGAATTATGAATATTTTGCACATTTAAAAACACAACGCAATATACATTTTTCTACATCCACTAGATAATGTGCAATATTGGTAATTTGGTACTTTTGGACGAATCTGTGCAATATTTAGCCTCTTAACAGGATTTATATTCACAAAATAATCTGTCCTGGACAATCAGAACTAGTACTTATGTATATTTTGGTTTATTTTTCTACTGGTATCCCTTTTGTTTTTGTTTTTTTGCACTATCCCATTTGCTGTTGTACCAATACAAATACCCCTCACACTGGGATAAATAAAGGCTTATTTATTTTAGTAAAGGTTTACTTAATACTTATTCATTAGGTATAGATTATAAATACTTTGTTGCTGTAAATTCTGCGTAATAACACGAAACCCTGGTGCTGTCTCAGTCAAACACAAATGTTAAACCATCAGTTGGTGTAAAATAAAGGTAAACATTTAATATTTAGACTGTGTTGAATGAGGATTCAGAGAAACAACAGGTTTAATTCAATACAACAAGAATAACGTAGTTTTTTTTTTTTAGATGCACATTAATCCTGCACATTTAATTTTATTCTCTCTGGCCTGAAGTTTCAGTACCATTTAATGTGTTTTTATTAGAACCTGTCACAGACTCACCGTTTCCTGAATAACGAACTTGGGTTCGGCATCGCTGACTCCGGCTCGACAGAACAAACCTTTCATCCTGCTGCTCCTTTATCCACCCAGAGATTTAAAAATATCAAAATAAGTCCCAATAATCCTGTTCATGCATTAACTGTGTCTGATCTAGAGGAAGCCAGTCTGCTAGTTTTCAATTTCTGCTAGCTTGAATCAGCTGACCGACTCTTCTTCTTCTGCTGCTTTGTTAGCGGTCAGTCAACCAGCGGCGGGTGCATCAGCGCCCCCAGCTGGACGGACCGGGCACTGACAGAGAAAATAATATTAAAAAATAGTCTGTGACCTTTCAAAAATGTTCTTAATTATCAAGTGTTACAGGAAGTATTTACATAATTTATTCAATAATACGTTTATTTATTAGGTACTTAAAAAACAAAGTCTTACAAAGCCTTTTAACGGACATAACAGAATTTCAAGTTATTCAGACTGCACGTTTTAAACATCAATCATGGGCCAAAGCTGCTTTCTAGTAGAAAAGTAAGGCTGTCGTTCTGAATTTACTCAACAGGTTTAAGTAGTAGCAGAGTTTAAAAATATGAAATGGTGTACAATGTGAGGAAAACGAGAGCAGACCGTGTCCTCACACACAGGACTCGCTTCCATCATAGCTTCTCCTCTGCCACAGTCAGACTGATGGTGCACACAAAATAAAACTGGACTCACAAAACTATTGTGTAATATCTATGGTGTTCTGCTGTACACACTTCTTCTGTTTTTAGTTATTTATCTAGTCCTATAACTGATTCATTTTCAATGTATATAAACCCATAACTTATTCTTTTACGTGTATACAAATGGTATTTTGATTGTATTTGTATTTTGCTTGTATTTTGCCCCAACATCTCCCCAGCTCTTTAAGCCCTGCACAAAAAAATCCTAGGTACCAAACAATGTGTGCATATGGCAATAAAGTTCTTGAAATTAAGAAAAGAATCCTGAGTAAAATGAAAACGATTAAGACCAAATGATGTTGTATAAAATATAGATTTACCAGACTAAATAAATATTAATGCTGAGACCGTACAATATTACTAATTACGCAAATTTACCTAATTAATTTAAATATTAGGTTTGGAACCCAACAATATCTTTTTGTTTTATTTCCATCTTTGTTTTCCTTTTGAATTATCATCTGCTGCCTATAAATGGGTTTATATCGACCAGCTGTACATCTGGTTGTACTATTTTGGCACATCACTCCCGTATGTTCAAACTTTGTCTGAATTACTGAATCTTACAAATTTGTGCATTTTTTTGCCACTGGCTGTCAATGTGCATATGCACTCATATTTATGAGATGTTTTCAAATTATAACTAAAATTAAATAGCCTGTTTATCTGTTTTGTGTCACTGAATTTTGTTGTCAAATGCTTTTTTGGACCAGTGGCTTCAAGGAATATTTTTTTCCCCAAAAATTTTATTGTAAAACTTTATTCTGTTCTCTGTTTCTCTTGTTAAGTTGGATTGTCTTTTTCTTTTCTTTGAGAAAATTAAATATGCTAAATTTTATTTGCATATATTCTCACATTAAAGTGGATTTTTCCGAGGAAAACGCCGCCGGCAGGAGCGCTGCTAATCCGTTTACTTCCCTGTGTTCCAGGCTAGAAAACGGCTCTTCAAGTCCTCGCGAGATATCAGTAATGTGGTTAGGGGCATTGTGACTTATCGCGATACGTGAGTGGCGTTACCCCATTTTCCAGCTGTCCCTCAGTCGGTCGGGATTTCAGAGCCACGGGAGAATCACCGGAGCGGGTTTTAGTGATAAACCAGCACCTTTTTGGGAGACGATACCTCATTTTATGGTTACATAAACACGCAACGAGCTACTGTATCCGGGATTTAACGATGGAAACTGAACTATGAGGTAAGAGCAGAGCGTAGTACGGGTGATGTGGAAGAATTTCCCTGAGCGGGCTGACGAGCTGACATTAGCTTCTCACTGGCTAGCCTGGTGCTAGTCGCACTCAGATGTAACGCCGGAGCGGCTAGCTGGTCGTTTTTACCGGCTGTAGCTCACTCCTGTCAGGCTCTAGCTGTGGTATCAGCACCTCTAGGAGGCGTCTGAAGTGGGTCTGTGTAGCAGCAGCAGGGCGACAAGAAATCGGAGGACGATGCAACCCAGTAACTGCCAACAGTTAGCCAGCATGCTAACGTTAAATCACTGCATCTGCACTGGCTGCCCGTGACCTGACGGTAACATTGACCGGTGTTGGTCGCGGTTAACCTTCGTCTCGGTGGTAGCTCGGTCGGCTCAGGGCGAGATGGTGAAGGTGGACGGCGGAGCTTCGGGCAGGGAGCCTCCTCTCAGGGTGGAGGTTAGCCTAGCTTGTGCTAACACCTAACACACACATCCTGATGTTTGTCACAGCTGTGCGTCCAGCTGCTCACCTGTCCGCTCAAAACAACCCTCACAGCACATTTTATATGTACGTGTGTGTGTGTGTGTGCAGCCAGAAACCGCTGGTGGCTGCCGGGCGAGGCGCTTTATCATCTCTGAGAGGATGCAGGAAGTGAGGATGAATTGCCAAACACATCTTTTCCTGTCAGTGTAAACGCTCCTTGCAGAGGATTTGGCTTCTGCATCAGGGCAGATGCGACTTCACAGGTTAGAGGCTCACTGGGCTCCGTCGGTCAGGGCCGGTTTCCATGGTAACGTGGATGCTGATCAGACCTGGAAGGGTTTCAGGTGAAGCCCAGTGAGTTTTCTTTGATGATTTGAAAACGCTTGGTTCTGCACCAACATTGTCAATGTTCTGAAAACTTCACAAAGCCTTACCTGGGCGTCATTTGTTCTGCCAGGAGTTTATCTAGATTAAAGCTTAAAGAAGCTAATTATAAACTAGTGAACGACCAATTTGGTTAACAGTTAACCAGTAAAGTTGTTTAATAAGGCAAACATAGTCGCCATGTTGTGATTGTAGAATCTCAAATGTGAATGCTTAATACTTTTTTTCTGATCATTTTAAACTGAATATTTTAGATTTGGTTCGGTGGTTCAGACAAAACAAGACATCTGTAATCTGTCACCCTGGGATTTAAAACCGTCAGAATACATAAATAAACAGATTAATCTTTAAGATAGTTGATTAAAACATAATTTATTGAAGCAGCATATGTAAATGTAATTTAAAAGTCTGGTGGGAGAGTTATTATCATTTATTAGTGTGACTGAATACTGACTCAAATAGCAGATGTGCTGGAGGAGAGCCGTATGTTTCACAAGTGATGAGTAGCTACACTTCATTATGTTTCATTTAACTGATGTGACCCCCAGCAAAACGTACACGTTCCATAGGGCTGCGACTAACCCTGACTTCATTTGATTGAGCTGTTGATTATGTTTCTTGTTTGTTTAATTAGTTCTTTGGTCTATAATCAAAAAAATGAAGAAAAAGCCCAAAATCACAAATGTTTTGTCCACAACCCAAATATATTCAGTTTACTGCGGTAGAGGAGGAAAGAGAACAGAAAATGTTAACACTGAAATAGCTGGAATCAGAGAATTGTTTTGTTAGAATGACAGAATCAATTAAGTGTTGCATATCTAAAATCTTATACGCCTTGTTTGGCAGTGTCTATATACTCCTGCTAATCAATGTAGATTTAAAGCTGTGCTGTCAATGTTTTGTTAGATCTCTGAGAAATCTACATTATCACAGTTCCACTCAAAAGTTCAAGAGTTAACCTTTAAACAGAAAACAAGGTTCAGTCAACGTTAAACAAGTGCAGCTTTCAGGAGGCGCGTTATCTCCCCGAACGACCTGCAAATCAGATCCGTGCAATTGGGTTTGTTCAGGAAGGCTTTCAACACAGTGAAATGTTTATTTCTAAGACCAGAAGCTTGTAAAATTGTCCTTCAGCTATGAAAATGTGGTGACATATTTTTACCAGATGGATCAGGTAGTTAACATTTTTAACAGTTTATTTTTGCCTTTTTTTGTGATTATAACACTCTTGCACATTATAGCAAGACAAAACCTGCCACCTACCATCCTTCTGATATAAAACCAGTCCTAGTGTTTATCAGTGCATATCGTTTAGTAACCTGATATCAGTGTCAAATGACCACTATGACCTTAAGCCACAAGAAATGCATGTGTTCACTTATTTTGCCTGATCAGAACCAAGCTGGGTGTGCAGTGTCCTTACGTTGAGAAATTATTTAGCGTCTTACGTTGCTTTGTGTTCAAGTTTGTCTTTTCCTGCAAGAACAGAGAAGTCAGCAGCAGCACTAACAGCAGCATATTGGGTGCTTTTAGTTCTGTAGCCTCGCCTTGACTGTTAAATTTAAACACAAATGGACGATATTACTGCCGCAGGCACCCAACAAAGAAGTCACATGGTGGATATTTACATTTTCCTCGTAGTTCGAGCAAGAAAATGACTTCAGTTAAGCTCCAGGAATTTTGGTCTCGCCCTCAGTTTGGTGCTAACATTAGCTAGCTGTGGAGGCTGGTGAGCGTGTTGGTGAGGAGGGACAGCAGCCTGAGGGAGGGATGCAGGACGAGCTGATGGAGAGACTGCAGTGCTGGTGTTTTCTGTGTGTGTGTGTGTGTGTGTGTGGGTTTGTGTGTGCACTGAGTGTGTGTGTGTGCATCCTGTCACCTATCAGGCCTCACCACTTGACAGCAGTGTGACGATAATCGTGTGGTAGTGCGTGTTGGAGGGAGTCGGATGCAGAGCTTAGGGTCAGTGTCAGAGGGTGTGTCGTTAGTGTGTGTGTGAGAAAGACTGTGTGTGTGTGTGTGTGTGTGTTTCTGAGAGTACGAACACACATGTTTTGTGTGTGTGTGGGAGTGTGTAGAGTATGAGAATGCTGATGTGAAGAGGCTGCAGTTATTAATACCAACTCTGTCATGGTTCAGCCATCCGTGCAAGACACCATCAACAAATAAAATACTTCAAACGAGCTCATAATCGTTCTTTTCTGTTGCATTTTTCTGTCTCAAATCATCGCAATTTTGGAACGACTTCTGCTCGATCATCTCTGATTCGCCTCAAATTTTCACACCCCGGATTTCACCAAGATATTTGTGAGATTTTGGCTTGATAAACAAAATTTCTTCCAAGATAATTTGTTTGTTAAATTGCCTGTCGACCCATTTTTAGACTTTTTTTTTTTTTTGCACATTGAAATTTGAGGCTATATTTGAATGACAATATCTCATGTACTAGTTTACAAAAAACTTTTTCTGTTATTTCCCATCATGCCATAGATCCAGAATCTGCAGTATTGGAGTTCAGCCTTGAGCACACAGTACCAAAAACACTGATAATGTAGACGTCAACTCGTGATGTTTTCTGAACTGTATGTAGCCGCAAGTCACAATAATATAAATCAAAACATATAGAATACTTTTTATTCTGAAATATGCCATCACAAAACATGGAATCGCCCTGTTCCTTCTCTCTGTGCCTCTGTCTTTGTTCCCAGGACAGTCGCAGCATTTTTTCCAATCAATTATTTATTGGTTTTATCCTAAAATGTGACATTAACAATCACGAATGCCCATCAGAATATGTTAACTTTGCTCTACAGTGACATTGAATGGAGGGAATCAAGCAAATCCTCACATTGTTCTCGCTAAATCAATCAGTGATTCATTTTCTGTCAGTCAACTAATTGATGAATTGACTCATCGTTTCTGCTCTACTTGAGACTGTGAGGATCAGAGGACTCGGGATTCAGGGTTTTAGTCAGTAGGTCCTGGTTTCTGGGGTCATATTGCCTTTAATTTCAGTAGCTAACTACCAAACACCACTGGGATGATTCTTACAGTACCAGCACAGAGGTTGTGGCAGGAATATTTTTCTTCCCTCCTCCTCCTCCTCCTCCTCCGTGACAGCAGAAGTTGCTGGAGGAGGAGGAAGCGATGGGTGAAGAGATGGAGGCAACCAAGACAAATTAGGCATTGCATATTAATAAGAGTTGCAATTTTCCTCCCAGGCTGCCAATTTATTTCAGCCCTGGAAACTTTTATTCTGCACCGTTTTGAGAAGTATGTCTTGATAGGACCGGGAGTCTCTCTGATGTGGTTCAGTTTGGATGTGACACGATCGGAGCTGATCACAGAATGAATCCTAATACATGTTAATGTGTCTCAGGTTTTAATTTGGCTGCTTGTACATGTAAACCTAATGAAGGCGGTAGTGTCTCTGTAATGGAATGTTACTTCTTGCTGGAGGGGCATTTATTTCATGTTTCTTGTGCTGAATGCAGAGCCAGGAGTGTGCTTGTGATTTTAAACACCCTGCAGTGTCCATAAAGGACTCGATAACACGACTTAACCAGGAGCAAAATGTTGGCTTCATGACGGAGTACTCTGATGAGTTGGCATGCAAATTTTGTCCCATTTCCTTTAAAGATAATCTGCAGCATTATTAATCAATCATCTGTTTAACAAAAACTCAAATTAAGTCCAGTGGAAATCGTTGCTCTTTCTAATAACTGGCATCAAATACAAGCTGCTACAACGACTTGATCACGAACACCATCGTGACACAATTCTGCTCATTTTTGTTTTTTCTTTCGCTCTGGTCGGTCGCCTTTAACCGTCACAGAAGTCTTGTTGGCCGAGCAGCTGTCTTTTATCTTCTGCCTCATCAGGTTCAATCACTGTCAATTAAACAATTAGTCCTTTCTTTCTGGGATGCCCTGTACATCTCAGTGTACATCTCAGACTCACGATGACGAGTATCACAGCAGATGAAAGATCAGTTGATCCACGAGGAGGCTGAAGAGGAACGATGGAGGGGGTCAGCAGGAGAACGAGGTGAAAGGATAAAGCAAGGAGATCCTGATCTGCATCATGTTGTGCGTTTACAGTGTGTTTGTGTGGGTGAGGGGCTTTAACAGGCATCTGCCTGCCTTGATAACAGACCAACACTACAGTTACATCCCAATGCTCTAATTATCCTGACTAATCCCACAAATACAATGCAAGTACACAGGAAAAGCAGAGCAGTAAGCCTTTAAGTACGCACGGATGACAAAGGACGCTGCATTAAAGCTGCAACACACAACTTTACGTTTAGTTTTTAGTCAATAGAGCTGCAACAATCGATTAAATCATTCGCAGCTATTCTGATAGTTGCTTTGAGTAATTTTCAAGAAAAAGAAATCTCTGATTGCAGCTTCTTAAATGTGAATATTTTCTGCTTTCTTTCCTCCTGTGTGACAGTAATCTGAAAGTCTTTGGATTATGAACAGAACAAGACTTTTGAAATGTGCTCTGGTGCTTTGGGCAGCAGTCACTGACATTTTCTTACCATTCTCTGATATTTAAGAGCCCATGAAAGTAGTTGACTGAATAATAAACAGATTAATCATCCGTTGCTGCCCTGCTGTTCATTCGTAGTAACAAGAAGGTGACGTTTCATTGGAGGTTGAAGTATTTGTGCTGCTGGATTTGTGAATTGTACCAATTTGAGTCATACTACGAGGTCCCGCGATGCTGCTGAACGCAGACGGCGACCTGCTCAAGTCAGTAAACAACATCAAATCCAAATATATCTCGATGTGCTGAACTCTTTCCTCGCTGTTTCTACATTTTCTGCCGGTGTCACAAGGGGTGCCGCTGCTCGTTTGCTTTTCTCTGAGGTATTGTGTAAAACTGGCATCAACAGAAGTCTTTCACAAGTGGAGCGTTTTTGGCATTTTGACTTTTGTCGATAGATTTAAGCAGCGTGAAAAGTCGTTCTCTGTTAATTGTTAACTTTCACCAACTGTTGAGTTTCTGCCCACAAGCTCTCGTATTTCGTGGCGATTTTTCTGCAGATTGTTTCGATCAGATTCTGGCTAAAATAAGAAGCAGTTGGCCGAGCGCCCCCCGGTTTACAGAGCAAGACGTGCTGTAGTTGTGTATAGCTGCTCGGCTGCTTCGGTGTTCTTTCAGTGTGTGTCTGTGTGTGTTTGTGTAGGGTGGGCTTTGTTCCTCTGACCTAGTTAAGCTGGTTACTTTGTCCTCCCACTCTGATGATAATGGGGCGCACACAAGCGTCGCCATACACCCTCCAACAGGCCGAGGACCGCGTGAGACCCAAGAAACGGTCCCACTGCCACTTCTCAATGAGACTTTCTGGGGAAGAAAAGCACATTTTCACTCAGTGTTCCGCCTTTAATGTGTTATATTGTTGGCAACAATCTAAAAATAATATCAAAAATCAATACCTCCTGCCTAGTTCAGGACAAATGGGGAAAATACTCGTTGTGATTTGAGTAAACTGACCTTTAAGCAGGATTTCTCCTTGTGGTTTAATAGGAAAACCAGATTTAAAAAAATTATTTCATTTCACTGAAAAAAAAATGAAGCAACCCACACATACGCTCACACGCCCTCGCTTAGTCCTCGTCTGTTGCAATGTGTGTCACATTATTATTGTGGTTTGTCTGCTGGCCACAGCGCTACAGAGGGAGGCAGGTCTGGATCTGATTAACATACCTCCACTGTGGCAGAGGTATGCTACACACTTACATATATATATATATGTGTGGGTTGTTGTGAGCAGATAGCACAGGTTTGTTTCATATTTTTAGCTTTTTTTAAAAAAGCAGATGTCATCTGGAGACAAAAAAGGAGCTGTTACTTCAAGGAGACAATTACTATTCTCAGACAAGCATCTTAAAAACACTCATTCCATTTTTGTTTGGTGTCTTCTTAGTTAGTTAGTTAGTTAGTTAGTTAGTTAGTTAGTTAGTTAGTTAGTTAGTTAGTAGTAATAGCCAGTTTGCATTGCCTTAAAGAAATGCTGTCCCATTTTTACTCACTGAGGATTAATTTTTAAACTGCAGTATGAAGTCCTGAACCTCCACAGGCAACAGCACAACCACGAAAAAATGTTTTTAATGCAAAATGACACAGTTATAAGGCTGCACATTAAAAAATGAAAAAGAGACACTTAAATATTTTGATTATTTATTTTACAAACATTAAAAAAAACCTGGATCAACCTGTACGACATTTTTCTCAGTGCTCACAGGAGCTATTTTACTAACTTCACTCTACTTTCATACTTGCCTCCTATCTGCTCTGTGTAAACACAGCCTGCAGTTCAGCCGAAAAGATTTTATTTTTTTTGTCGCCTGCTCGTTGGTTTCAGCCGAGTCACTCGTGGCTTTTCGTTTAATTTGAGGAGCGCAGAATTTTTTGTTTTTTATAGAATCTGGTTGAGGCAAATTGTGTATTTTTGGCATATTTTTTAAAATAATACTTTTAAAATAAAGTCATTTAGATGAAACTCTGTGGTTCAGATTTGGTTCATTTTACCGACAGAACTGCACATCACAGGTGACTGCTTCAAGGACTGTTAGGAAGACTTTATTTAACATCTTTTTGTTGTTGCAGAATAATTGTGTAATTTTGCCAATTTATTTTAAAGCTAACAAGTCTTTCAATCCTAGTTGCAGGTTTTGGAGCTCAGAGGGTTTAATAATTCTGGAACGAAACGCCAAAGTCACCTTAGAAGCACTAATTCCCAGTTTGTGGGTTCGTTGTGTTCCAGTCTGTGTTGCCTTTAAAAAGACTCCAGCAGAGCTTTTGACAGCGCAGCAGCAGAAAACTGGTGTTGACTGTGGTCAGCTCCCAAGCGAGACTGTTTGTAAATGAGTGAGTGTGAAGCCGAGTGCTTCTGAAAACAAGCAACTGTGCTCCGGCAGCTCGCCCTGCATAAATACAGGTCTGCAGCCCCGTTGACACGGCTGACACTCGGCTCGCTCCCCCGAGGACTCGCTCTAGTCTCAGACGGCGGCAGCAGATCGATGAGGGTTTCTTAAATATTTCTTATAGAGGCTGAGCAGAAGATTCGAAGCTCGTAGGAAAAAGATTCGCCTTGTGTTTGCAGCGTTGCATGAAAATACACTTTCAAAGCACGGCGGCTGTAATCCTGTCAGGCTCACTGGGCCGCAGACCAAATTCACAACTTAAGCATTAAGACAACAGAGTGGAAAATTAGCTCCAGACTCGCGCTGGAAAATCATTTCCTCCGCCCGTCTTCTGTATCAGCACCTTGGCAGACGACCAGGCATTATTTTGGTCCTTTTAACATCACGTCGGACTCCTTCGCAGTACAAACATCTCTGTGGCTCACCAGTGAAGTGCTGATAATGTGAACTGTGTTAAATAATTTGTGGTATTGCTGAGGGATGTTATTGAGCGGTTAAATCCACCGTGAGGCGCAGCTCCCACTGATCTTCTGTTTTTCTGAATGTGTTGTTTCAGGTGTTGTGACGCTGCAGAAGACTGAGTGAACCATGGCACAGTTCCCGACCACATTCGCAGGTCAGTGAGCGTCTGCAGCTGACTTAGAAGCAGCTTGATGGTTACGTTTTGCTCTTAAGAGACTTAAGCAAAACGGCTCCATCAAGTCCATTAGAAGACGAACCACAGCGTCTCATCAGTGCGCTGTGGGGAGAAGCAGGAAGCAGTCACATCACAAGACATTCAGGGCTGAAACTAAAACAAAAACGGAATGTTTTACTTCCACTTTCTGATATGTGTGACTTTTATTTGCATATAAATTGCATGAAGTCAAAGCTGGTGAACTGCTTTTGTCTGATGCAATTACATTTTTATGCACACTGGAGAAAGTCTGCAAACTTTGAAACCCTCTTTTATTTCACAGAGATGTTTTTACCCTTGCTTGGGGTGGTTTCTGACTTTGTGGAGAACATTTCTGGAAAAGTGCAGACGTAGCAAACATTTAACCCACAAGACCAATCAGCTGTTTCCGCTTTTTTTTTCTCTGATACAAGCTGGTATTAAAAAACTAAAATCTGAACAGTTGCTTAAGACTTCTCTCTATTTTTCTTTTGAGATGGTCAAAGTCAGTTTTTTATTTGCTTATTTTTAATGTTTCGCGCAAACAACTGCTTTAGTTTCAGTCTTCTCCTTCTCTGTTTATTACAGCTAACGTCGCCTACAGCGCCACCTTCTGACAACGCCTAGTTTATTCACTCCAGAGCGAGTTGACAGAAACAAGACTAATTCACATTTCGCTTTTTTAAATTTGACCCAATATTGTAAAAAAAAAATAAAAATCACTTGACAGTTGTATGGAAGCACGGCTGTTATGTTTTAGTCTGAACTCCGAAGCCTCAAGTAGGAAAAGAAGTCTGTCAAAAGCAATCAAACGCGAGGACGTATGAGTCGTTGTGGCTGCTGTCAAAGCAAATAATTACCAAATTGGTATAAAAGTGCAGCCAGACGGACAGATTTCCCATCAGGACGACAAACAGATGGAGACAGAAGGCAGACGGACTGAAAATGTTTAAAAACCCAACAGTGGGAGATTTGTCAGATTATAAATTGAATCATGACAATAAAACATGTTGCATACATAAATCAGTTGAATGCCTCAAAAAATAAATAAATAAATTTAGTTTTACAGCTAAAAGCAAAATCCTGATGCTGTTCATCAGCATTTCTATAAAAAAAATCCAAAGTTTTTGCAGAAATATCCAGAGAACTTGTGTAAAGACAACTTGAGCAAACATCTTCTTTGACAGCAGCTAACCAGAGGAAATAACTTGGCGTCAGCAGCAGCTGCTCTTCCATTTAAAATGAGTCACCGTGATTCAGTGCAACTTGCCAGTAAATGGTACAGGATGGACTGTCGGCTGGAATTAAGGAAAACGCCGCGAGAGGCGACACTTCTGACGAACTAATGCTGCGTCTAATTTACTCGTTTAAGAAAAATGCAGCAAAGTGGAAACTAGGCTTTTAGTGGAGCATCGTCAAGCCAGATTATCTATAATAACACATTTACATCAGACAAGTAAAGCCTTTAAAACAAACAGAAAATAGGAGTTCAACAGGTCTGACAGATGAGGTTGGGTTGGAGCTCCAACTCCGGTCCTCGTGAGCTACTGTCCTGCAGGTTTTAGACGTTACTGCAACACACCCGACTCAGATTAATGGATCATTAACAGACTTGTGTAGAACTTGACAACAAGCTGTTGGAGATCCTTGAATGTGAGTCAGGTGTGCTGCAGTAACGTCTAAAACCTGCAGGACAGGAGCTCACGAGGACCAGAGCTGGAGATCTCTGGTTAGATCGTTCAAACACCAACAAACAAGTAACTACATTTTATTCTGTTCTGAACAAGTGGCCTGTATTCGGATGACAGTAACCTGAAGAGCCTGTAAAAATATTCAACTACACTGACAGTTTTCCCGTTATTGCTTTTCAGCATTGAAGCTTGGCCAGTGTAATGATTTACAAGAATTTAGCAAAAAAAAAGACTCTTTCACATCAGCCTGAGAACAGATTTCTGTTGAGTAACGTCAATTAAATAATAATAATCAAACACGGAAAATAAGTGAATGAATCGTGACCTTCTGAAGGTGTTTAAAGGAAAGAAAGAGTTTGACCTTCAGTAAGACTTTCGGAAAAAGCTGATTTGATCTGCAAGTTGAATTTAAAAGAAGAACTAAAAATACCATCGAGGTTATTTACATGCAGCGTCACACAGGATGTCGTATGACGAGATAAGACGAGACACGACTGAGCGACACTGACACACGACAGCAAAGATTAAGATTAAGATTAAATTAGAGATAGCTGTATTTCAACATTAACGAAACACCTGCTGAAGGAACTAAGCCCAAAACCATGTCTAAAAAAACAACAACACCAAAATTACACCATTTATTAGAAACCAGAAGTTGTAAAAACAAAAAGATTTGTCATATTTCCTTGAAGTACTCATCTGTGACATACTGTTCCACCTGAAAACCAAAGCTTCAAATCATATTTCATCAAAATCACTTTATTCTACATGTCTGATTTAAAAAATAAATAAAATAAAATAAACTCATTATACCAGCTTTTGTAAAAAAAAAAAAATAATAATAATAATTTAAATTGCAGCTTCACGGAGCAACCAGGAAGCTATCAGTGATTTAGCTGTTGAGTTTTCACAGTTTACACAGAACACAGTCAGGAAAAATGTGACAGGAGCAAAAAATAATAATTTTAAAAAAGGAACTGCTTAGAGTTCAGAAGTGCTGAAATCACAGTTTTGTTTTTACTGAGGTTGAGAAAATTTTAAGAGAGCCTTGTTTTAACATCGTTTTTTGACTTTAACACAGATAAGAAATGAATAGAAGAGTTGAGCTTCAAGATTTTGATTATCGACGAATAGATAATTAGATAATTGTTGGGGAAGGAAAGCTGACTGCTCTGGGTCTGTGATCTCCTCTAAACATCTACCCACAACTTGTAAAGCTCTTTGGGCTGCTACCGGGAGGTCAATGATTGTATAACAACACTGAAACCTCTAATTCATTCAACACTGTTCCGTCTGAGGATGGACAGCAGTCTGTGACTCAGTCCTTCATGTGTTCGCCCTTATTGTCTTTCTTCATCAGTTTCATTCCTAAGTGTCACTTAATCGGAACAGGAAGTGAAACCCATGACTAACGCATTCTTCTCATTCCTCCCTGTTCTCCCCGTCTGTGTCTGGCTTTGTCTTGGCCTTCGGCGTTGGAACTGAATGTGTGCTTGTTTCTTGGGTGTGTTAGGTCCAGATGTGTTTCTGATCTCAGTGGATGAGAGAGCCAAACATGATCAGCAGTTTCACAGCCTCTCTCCGACCGCCGGAGGTTACATCACAGGTAACAGGCTCGCACACACCTGTACGGCACATCGGTGAGGTGAGATTAGGGCCACGAACGAGGCCGGCGTCATGCGGTCTGTCGTTCATTGTGTGGAGAAGCTGCTGTCCGGTTGCTAATGTGCGCTACACAAATCAGAACTGGGCTGCAGCACTACAAATTACAGCCACGACTGATAATAATTCAATTTGAAATCCCAGTGTGCTGCACAGATGCAAGCGATTAGAGTAATTCTTCCAACAAAGTCATTATTGTAATATGATTTTTGAGTGCATGCTGTTAGAACACGATCCTGAAATGTCATTTCTTAGGGCTGTTTCTTTGCCTAATTGAACGATTGTTTGCTCACATAAAGTTCAGCAAGGTCTGATTAACCACATTCTGTGTTGGGAAACTTGAATGAATGCTGTTAAAACACAATCTCTGCTGGTGGATTGTGGTCGTACATCCCCAAGAAGTAGAAGTAAGCTTTAAGTCTGATTGTTTTATGTTTTTAATGTCCTTTCCTTTAAGCTATCCTCCCGACAGAGAGCAGTTGATCTGTGCTGTGGCCTCACACCTTGTTTCTGTTTGTCTGTCAGGTGACCAGGCCAGGAACTTTTTCCTCCAATCAGGGCTGCCGCCGCCCATCCTGGCCCAAATATGGTGAGTCACACCAGCCGGAAAGTCAGCCAGGCCATTATTCTCAGTATTTTAAACATTGCATTGCTAAATGTTTTCACGCGATTGTGTTTCGTAGTCTTTCTCTGCATTTCTTAGATTTGACCTCGAGTTCATCTGTTGTTTACCTGCAGGGCTCTGGCCGATATGAACAGCGATGGCCGGATGGACATCCACGAGTTCTCCATCGCCATGAAGCTGATCAAACTGAAGCTCCAGGGTCACCCTCTGCCCCCGTCGCTGCCTCCCAGTATGAAACAACCCCCACTGCCTTTACCCCCACAGAGCGGCTTCGGTGAGAACCACACAAAACTCAAATGATAGGTTTTGGTTGTGAACGTTGATGATCGTTTTATTGTGTTTTTTCTTTTGCAGTGACTGTGTTTTATACGTGTGCTGCAACGTTAACCCTCTCAACCCCAGCAGATGTAAAAGGCATATGACATTATTAAAAAAAAAAACACCAAAACTACACCCTTTATCAGAGACAGAGACTCTAACAATAGGGAAAAAATCAACAATTTTCTAACTTTCCAACAGTTCCTGAACTTACTATGTGTGACAAATCTGGAGGAATTCATCCGAGGCGTGCCGTCGTGTCAGAAAACGTAAACAAATCCAGCTTAAAATCTGAATATTTCATCACGATCACTGTATTCTGTGTGTGTGTGATTTACAAATTAGCACAGAAAAATGATACCAGCTTATCCCCGTATGCTGGAGGTGTCATTGTTTACTGCTTAAAATCTGCCAAAAAATCTAGAGATTGGTTAAACTTGATTCTGTTAAAAACAAACAATTCTTCTCCTTTAGCCAAACAGAGCAGCCATGATTCACTCAGCTGTATCCAACAGTGACTCGACCAAAAATCAGGAATGATTTGGCTGAATTTCAGGCTGTGTTCAGAGCAAACAGGTGACGAGTAAGATAGTAAAATATCTGTATTATGTAGAGTCAGCATTTCTTCCAATAATGGTAACATCTGTGGGAGAAAAAGTTGTGCATGTTAATTACAGTTTTTTTGTTTTTTACAAAATAAATAAAGAAATTCACTTTTTCTTTTTTATGATTTATGGCATTGAATGCATCCGATTGCGTTTTAGGTTTCTCTTCATGGTTGTTCTGTTTCCATAAGCAGAAAAAAAAAAGCAGAGAGGAAACAGTTTAATGTCATAACATAGATGCAATCTGTTGTGGTTCTTTGGTTTCTGGAGTGTTTTCTTTTTTTTTTTGTCTTCTTTGCCCCCCAAAGAAAATCCAGCTAAAACTCTGCTCAGGCTGAACACTGCAGATGTGTGTGATAAGGATGACGTCACTCTGTTTTCCAAAGGTCATGGAGGAAAGTGTTTGCTCTCTTTCTCTCTGCGCCTCCAGTGCGGATCGATAACGTCATAATGCAAACACAGTGTACAGTCACACCCAGTTCACAGCGTTAAACCTTCATCTTATGTCTTCCTCCAGGCCTGCCCCCCATGGCTCCCCTTCCAACCGCTCTGCCCGGCGTGCCTCCTCTCCCCCTGCCTCCTCTACCCGTCGGGGTGTCTCCCCCTCTCGTCTCGTCGGCGCCGCCACCCCTCCCGCCGCCCATCGCCAACGGAGCTCCGCCCACCGGCATGATGCAGCCGATCTCAGGCTTCTCCCACCCAGGTAGTCAGCAGAGGCAGGAGGTCACATGAGCTCCTGTTTACACATAACATACCAAATCATATTTACATTTTAGACAGTCCTCTTTTACGTCTGCACGAACGCTCATCTACGTTACGGGTCACTGTTTTGAAAATATGCAGGAGAGTTAGGACAGATTACAAGAAACACAATGTTCTGTCTTTGTGAGGCTCTGACGTACTCTGCTCTGTCCTCCTCAGCTCCTTCTGTCAACAAGTCGTCTTCGTTTAATCGTTCCAGCTCCAAGCTGCAGAAGGGCTCGTCCTTCGATGCTGCTGGGTAGGTCCAGTGATCCAAAGCGTCCTCGCTACTTTGCCTGAACAACTAAAATGAGAAGATCGAGTGATAACGTGACTGTTTTGACCAGCTCTCAGCCTGTTGTTGCTCCTTTAGGCTTCTGGGTGTTGTTTTTTGCTTCCGTCCATTTTTCTTCACTGTGGGCTCATTTTTCACGGCAGTATAAAGTCCTGGGAACAGAACAGAAGTGACTTCTGTGTAGTGAAGTCCAACACAGATAAAGTGCCATAAATTACAAACAAGAGAAACTAAATATTGGATTTCTTTATATTATTTATTTTACAAAATGTCTAAAATGTTCCCCTTTCATCAAGCACCCAAGACTAAGAAGAAATGGAGACTCTACTGTAGATCTTCTAATTGGTTTCTACTGTCTGCTCTGTCTAAACACAGCCTGCAGTTCATTCGAAAAGTTCCTGAATTTTTGTCATGTGACTGTTGGGCACAACTGAGTCATTCATGGCTTCTCGGTTGCCTCAAGGAGAGCAGAATATTTAGCTTTTTACAGAATTTGATTATCGCAAATGGTGAATTTTTGGCATTTTTTTTAATGAGACATGTAGAATAAAGTGGATTGGATGGAAAATCATAATCGTAATCTTACGTTTGGTTTATTTTCTTGAACAAACATCACATGATTATTTCATGGAGAGCTGAAAAGCAGATGATTTGTTCTGTTTTTACAGTTTCTGTAACGTTTCTGGTGTAACTTTGGCAAGTTTCAATAAAAACATACCTTCTTTTTTTTAACCAGCTGTTGGCCGTACACTTAAATTAGCATTTAGCTTGTGCAGCGTACATCACATGTGCTTATTGTTTCTATTCTTGTTGTCATTTCTTTCTGCCTTAAGTGAAATCATTTCTGTACCCTGTTGCTCCTCCAGCGCCCAGCCGCCCTCTGACTGGGCGGTTCCTCAGTCCTCCCGGCTGAAGTACAGGCAGCTTTTTAACTCCCACGACAAGATGATGAGTGGACACCTCACCGGTACTCACAAAACTCACTCACACGTGGTCATTTGTGATCATTTTTCTGTGATAGATGTTTTCTTTCTCTACATCTGACGCGTTTCTGTGTTTCAGGTCCGCAGGCTCGAACCATCCTGATGCAGTCCAGTCTTCCCCAAAGCCAGCTGGCCTCCATATGGTCCGCAGTTTGTACATCAAACATTCAGCTTTAATGAAAACGGATGACAATTGTTGTACAGATGTGTAATTTGTTCCGCCGTTGTTCCCTTCAGGAGCCTGTCGGACATCGACCAGGACGGAAAGCTAACAGCTGAGGAGTTCATCCTGGCTATGCACCTCATAGATATGGCGATGTCGGGGTTACCGCTGCCCCCCGTGTTACCACCAGATTACCTCCCACCTACGTTCAGGTGAAGCCCTCGTCAACTAATGAACTGAACGCAGCAGCTTTAGTATCTAATTGTTTACACCGTATACTCTTTCTCAGGATCATAATTTGTACATTCCTGCCCTCTGCAAATGTTTGTTCTTTTATATTATGTACAATTTCCTACACAAATCCTTTTATCTTTTTTTAAAAGTACCCTACTTGTCAGCATTTGTTTATATGCGCTAAACAACACAGGGACCTTATTCATCCCATTGGTATCCAGTAGCTCACATATATTACAAGTAAAAAAAAGATAAGGTGCAAATAGTGCTGGTAGACGATGTGATGTATAAATACAGTGTGAAAATAAAGCGTAAAGGAAGAATCCTCGAGCTCTGATGAATCCAGGATTATGTCATGAGGTGAAAACGGTGCTAATAGAAGATAAACTATCAGTACAGTATAAAAACAAGATGCACAGAGTTCCTCGTGTGTGAGAACCTACTTGGCAGTTAAACTGATTCTGATTACGAAGCGATAGTTGCTTTAAATATGCATTCATTTGCGCAGCGATTCAGATAAAACTCCAGGTGAACCACATTAACCAGATCTACATCAATCCACGTGCTTTAAATTGCACTGTTTATTTATTTTCTATTGTGAGCATAAATTGCAGTAACACACTATGTTGGGGATACTGACTGTTGCCTAATTGTTGTGTTAAAGGCGCGTTCGAAGCGACAGCGTTCAGTCGGACCAGAAGAGCGTCCAGGAGGAGGCGGAGGAGGAGACTGAGAGCAACCAGGACAAGAAACTACCAGGTGATTTATCCAAACCAGCCTGCACGTGGGATTAGATCACTGTGATGTTTTACTCCTGGGCTTCTACCCTCGAATAGGATAATAAACACACTGCTGGGTTGTCTGTAAATGTTTTACTATTAACAGTGATAGGAATAGAAGACCCAACTCAACATGAGGGGAGACCTCACTCCTCTCTCTCCCAAGGAAGAAGTGCAATATAACAGCATTTATAGGAAACACAAACTCTTCTCCTATTGGCTCGTCGTAAATAGATTGTAAGTTTAGTGTCCATGCCGTGTAAGAATCCTGAGTCATCTCTTCAAAGACAAAACCTTTTAGGGGAGTAAACATATCCACTCCAGTTGACCTCAACTTCAACCTCTGTGACCTCAAGGTAGCTCATCTATAATTAGGCCGTAACAAAGTCACTGTACTAAAACGGAACCGTTTCAGAACAGAGATGCATTTACATAAATAAAAGGCTCCTATAACCTGCCATGATTTGTCTCTACAGTATTTTTTTTTTTTGTCTAAATCCAGTTAAAATGCTGTTTTTTGTGATAACTGGGCCACAGCAGTCTTTTCAATCCATTCCCTTCTACTTACAGCGTGTTTTCTCGCTGCTCTCCATCACCTGAAACTGTTTAAAATACAGCGGGGATGTATGCATATGCTTGTGTGTTCTTCTGGTGCTGCCAGACGGCTTTCCCGACACTTTTTTTTTTTTTTTCTCTCATCACAGTGACGTTTGAGGACAAGAAGAGGGAGAACTTTGAGCGAGGAAACCTGGAGCTGGAGAAGAGACGTCAGGCTTTGCAGGAGCAGCAGAGGAAAGAGCAGGAGAGGCTGGCTGCACTGGAGAGAGAGGAACAGGAGAGGAAGGTAGACCGACGAGATTACATCGATTTCTGCCTTCAAAAATTTGAATTAGTAATCGTTTATGACTTTTCTATGAGGCTGTAAAATAAACGGTGACAGCCATAATCTCCTTTTGTCAATAAAATTTTAACATTTAGTGTTGAAAATGAAGATGCTTTGAGGTAACAAATGCCAGATTCGTTGGTTCTTAAAGCTCATTTTTGTGTGTTTCAGGAGCGCGAGCGTCTGGAGCAGGAGAGGAGGCGACAGCAGGAGCTAGAAAAACAACTGGAGAAACAAAGAGAGCTGGAGAGGCAGCGAGAAGAGGAGCGACGCAAAGAGATCGAGAGGAGAGAGGTATGGAGGAGGTTTTAACACGAGAATTATAGTCGAGCTGCTGTAGACTTTAATTACATCTCTTGCAGACAACTCAGAAGCTTTTCTCTGCTCCAAAGTCTAACTAACCCTCCTGCTGCAGAAGACTTGTTGTGCATCGTGCAGTGTGTAATACCATATGATGTAATATTTAGCGTTGTGCAAGTTTTAAATGCAGCAGCAGTTCTTCGAGCTGTAACATTGTGTTGAGAAATTAAGCCAAACTTGTTGTGTCTGCGTTTCAGGCTGCCAAGCGGGAGTTGGAGCGCCAGCGTCAGTTGGAGTGGGAGCGTCAGCGTCGCCAGGAGCTTCTGACTCAACGAAACCGGGAGCAGGAGAGCATAGTGCTGCTAAAGGCCAGGAAGAAGACCCTGGAGTTTGAACTGGAGGCCCTGGTAATCAAACAAGCCCTGCAGATAGGGCAGTAAAGTGCAGTCAGATAGAGGCACGTTTTGCATGGCTGAACGTCTCCCAAGCAGGGCTGCTCGTTGTCAGAGCAGGTCAGCTGCTGCTGCAAAGAGAAGAGCTATTGGCTGCTAATGGATTATCTTAGTACATCACAGTATACGGCCAGATGTAGGGATGTTAATAGTTCATTTTTAATCCATTAATCGCCATTAATAATTGAATAGATGAGAAAAACCTATTGCCCACTGATAAGGCAGAGGAAGAAGGTCATGCATGTTGATGGTTAGCAGCATGACCTGGTTGAGCCACCTGTTTGATGGAGTTACAGGTGTGTTTGCTGAACGCCCTGCTGTCGAGCTGCTAACTCTGGCAGTCGCATGAATAAAATCTGCAGCACCGTGTTCTTAAAAAGATGCCTGCCGTCTGTCTGCTGTAGCTAGTGACCTGTAGCTCATGCTAATGATGCTAAGCTAGGATTTTTAAATGCTAACACAGGCCGAGACATTGCTAAGCTTTAGGAGCAGCAGGATACTGATTCAAAGCTTCCATCTACATTAGAATGTCTCTGTGACCCTGTGCTCCGAGTATAAATTCATTTCAGAGGTGCCCAGTCAATACCGACAGATTTCCTGAAATAATAAAGTTGCTGCGACGGTATTTGTGGATGTCTGTAAATAAACGTTATTTCCCATAAGGCGTGAAATGTCACAGCTCCACTAAAGAGGTGGTGAGTCTATAAAGGAGTTGAGAGGCCGCTGTAGGTTCAGATATGTCCTTAACAGAGAGAAGAAAACGTTACGGGAGTTGTTAAACTTCATGATCACAACTGGAGAGTAAAAAATGACATTTTTATGGATGTGGATGAAAACGAGGTTCGATGAGAAGCAAGTATCTGAGCTACTGTGTTTGTAGTTTGACTTTCAAGCTGTTTTTCTTCCTGTTCTCCAGAACGACAAGAAGACCCAGCTGGAGGGTAAACTGAAGGATGTTCGCTTTCGCCTGTCGGCTCAGCGGAGGGAGGTGGAACAAACCAACCAGACCAGAGAAACACGCATCGCTGAAATCACGCTGCTACAACAGCAGCTGCAGGTGCACAAAACAAACACACCCTGAATTATTTCCAATTCATTTCCTAACAACTTCAATCAACTCGTGTGTAGTGAGCAGAAAACAAAAGGTAACTGGTGAACTGGTTGCGTGCAGGACTCCCAGCAGTGGCTGGGGAGGCTGATTCCTGACAAACAGAGTCTCAACGATCAGCTGAAGCAGGTCCAACAGAACAGTCTGCACCGTGAGTACCGCGCACACCGAACACACAACGAACCACGTGCACATGCTTCGTCTTGAATCAGAAATAGCTGTTGATGGGACTTTTGGATGCAGCTGAGACGCATCATTAAACGGTTTTTCTCCACCTATCGTATCTTGGACGCTTGTTTTCACAGCAACAGTCAGAAATGTGTCACAGATACAGAGCGATGAGTTTCACACAGTTGTTCCTGTTCTCGTGTTGCAAACATTTTGGTGGCAGATGTTTTGAATTTAACTTAACCCTCTGAACTCAACAACAACATTTGTCAGTGCAGTATAAAATCCTGCAGCTCTGTGGAAACAGAACAACCACAAAGTAGGAGAGAACTCAGAAAATGTAATTAAATTAATATTCAAAAATTGAGAAAAAACTTGGAATCAACATGTCAAACATTTTCCAAGTGACCAAATGTGCTAGCAAAAAACTATTATTGCTCCACATCCTGTAGACACTTATCTTATGACTGTTGGTTTTAAGTTCGTCAGTCATAGCTTCCTGATTGTGCCAAGGAGTGTTAATTTTTTTTATTTCTACTCAGTCTAGTTAAACCAAATTGCTTATTTGGGGCAACATTTTAAAAACGAGATATGCAGAATAAAGTGATTTTTAAGAAATATCTCGATTTTCAGCTTAGATTTGTCGCACGATCAGTTCAAGGACTTTTGTAAAGTTGAACATCTGATGATTCTTTTTGTTTTTACTATTTCTGGCTCTGATCAATGTTTTATTTAGTTGATTTAGTAGCAGCTTGCGACAGAACACACAGAAAACAGTCAACGTTCAATGATTTTCTCTGTTTTTACATTATCTTGCACTGATGAATAGTGTAATTTGTTTTTCTTTTTTTCATTTCTTGAGACAACACGCCTGTTAAAGCGGCTGGTTTTGAGGTTTAAGATGTTAAAGCATTAATGTGTAGGTGTCATGTTGTTTCTTTGAGGATATGAGGATTTAGCACTGTGATAAACAGCAAAGTAATAACTCTGAGGAGGCAGGAGCCCTGATTAACTGTCCTTCTTTCCTCAAATTACTGTTATGAATTGTCCTAAGCTTCCATCCGAGTGTCTCTCTGACCAGTGAATCCGACACAGTCTCATGTCGTCTGTCTGCGTTTGCTTTCAGGTGACAGTTTGTCGTCGCTGCAGAAGGCCGTCGAGCAGAAGGAGTCGAGCAGACAGCAGCTCAGAGAGCAGCTCGACGCCGTGGAGAGGGAGACGAGGGCCAAACTCCTGGAAATAGACGCTTTCAACACCCAGCTGAAGGTAATTAACCAACAAATGGATGCAGGGCAGTAGAGGAGAGCCGTGGACACAGCAGGTAGCCGGCACAGCTCCTGATTCTAAAAGTTAATCTGATGACGCCTCATCCTGATGTTAGCGATACAATATTTTGATAGTGAGATGTTTTCATGCTCATGTAACTCAAAAACAAAGTAGTGGCATGTTTGCTGTTAAGTTTAATTAATTACAAACCATCTGTGTCACGTAACAGACTGATTGTGTAGCTTGCAAATGCAGTTACTGTTTTCCTAAATGATGTCTGTCTCATTACTCATAACCCCATTTTCACAGCTTAGCGGTTGAGTATTGTGGCAGTTTCGATGTTCAAAGTTTTCATATTTATATCTGACTCCTGCATCCGTGTTTGTGCTCATGTTGGTGTCGTAGTTTTATACACTTAACGTTGACTGCCGTGTTTGTGAGGAGAGCTAGCTGCTAGACAGCTGCTTCACGTAGCTTCTGCCAACAGTTTACTACAGACAGACGAAGACGGAGCGACTTGACTCCTCCTCAGTCGGATCACAGAAGGCTGTTTATGTTTCCTAGAGCGACCTTTTGTCCCCAGTTTTTATGTATTTCCTCCTGACTCATCCGGGATAGCGAGGCAGGTCAAAGAGAGGAGAATCAGTTCCATGATTCTGTTCCAGGAGATGAGAATGAGACGGAGGAGGGGGGGAGGAAAGGCAGGAAAGCAGAGACAACACAGGCCCCAATAAACGGATTTTCTAATAGCTAATCTAATAAAGTCGGCTCTCAGTTTTATCCACAACGGCAGCGATTTGAGAGCAACAAGCGTAAGCAGCAGTTTAGATTAGAATCTTTCTCCAGAGTGAAGGGCAGCCACGTCTCTGCGAAACAGGCCGCTGAGATGTGAACTATATTTGACGAAACCTCCGCCTCCCTTCTCTGCACCACCTCCCCCTGAAATCTTCACAACGCTGTGCCTCATCTGTCCTCCGCGTTCCCACCGGGACTCTTGTCATTTTTCCGCTTCTGCTCGCCGTCCTCGTCTGTATTTCGTTCCTGCTTCTCCGGTCTGTATTTCATGCATTATTCATTCTCTCCCTATTTTCTTCTTTGTTTAATCCACATAATGAACCCTTCCTTCTATATGCTCTACTCCTTTTATTTATCTCCCACACTGGCCTTTTTTGCTTCCTTGCCCATGCCAGTCTCTGTGTGAGTTCTATGCCAACCACTGTGCCAGGATAGAAGCCCTGCGACGCCAGCTTCAGGAGGAACAGACAGGGAGACAGGTAGAGCACACTGCCACTGCTGGACTGGGGTGGTACTGCAGCTGGGAAATACTCTGTAACATCTACAAAAAATACCAAATTACATATTAAGCATTGATATCCAACCTGGAGCAAAGAGCAGCGTTTACATTTCAATTGGACCCATTTGTCAGACGCTTCAGGTGTCTTTTTTTAATTTTTGTTTTGGTAACGCCTACAAACCAGACTTGTGAAAAGCCTGATTTGAGGCGATGCCTTAGTTTGATATGTTTACTGCGCTGTGCTGCCCCCGCCAGGCAGATAGATGTACTGCAGTCAGTTCAGGTCTCACTGTTAATGTGAAGCTGTGAGTGGTTTGACCACTGAAGAGCACTGACAATCACTCTGCTGAATCTGGTGTGCCGTTTCTCTCTGATCTCACGTGTCAGAGGCTGCATGGAAGAGATGGATGTAAACCTGCGTTCTCTCTAGCAGCCAGCAGGGGGCGACTCCTCTGGCTGCAATAAAAGTCCAATTCTATAGAAGTTTATGGTGAAATGAGCCTCCTTCTCACTTGACTTGTTACCTCTGTAAACATTTTCCTCAAAGATTTATGATCTCAATCACTACTTTCAAGTCTCTTTCAGTACAGAATGATGCTCATTTAGTAAATTATGATCCCATTTGGGGGAAATTTGGATGATAAACCAGGATGTGTTTTACGAATTGGCTGTCTTGTGATTGAAAAGTTGCTAGCATACGGGCACGGTGTCCACGAACTCTCAGCTAGATCCACTGCTTGTTCATTACGTCTGGTTTCAATTAAAATAACCAAATGGAAAACTCAAAGCTTCACATAGCTGTCAAACATCACGTCACAGTGGCGAAGACATCCATCTTTTCTATACAGTCAATGGAAACACTTCTGGAACGCAACACTCAGTACTAATACAGAGCCAATCAATGCTTTGTTGTTGAAACTCAGCATTTGTAGCCGTAGCAAACTACTAACAAAAGAAATATTTAAGCAAAAAAAGTGTTCAAGAGAAAATACCCGTAAAGAAAATACCCGTTTTTTGGTTGTTTTTTTTTAATACTGTGGAGCAAAAAGGAAATTAAGTAAATGTTGAACAATTATTGTCAGCTTTATTGCTAACTTAACCCTCTGAACCCGGCAGATTTGAGAGGCATGTAATGTGTTTTAAATCCCCAAAATAATTACATGCATCACAGCCAGAAACTCACCTGTGACTCGCCGTTCTGTCGAAAAAGTGAACCGGATCTCAGCTTAAGATGGTGATATTTCATCAAAATCTCTTTATTCTACGCGTCTCATTTTTAAAAAATCGCCAAAAATGACCCATTTGCTCTGAACAGATTCTGTAAAAACAATAAATTCTGCTCTCCTCATTGAAACTGTAACGCCATGTTCACCTCAGTGTCTTTTAGGTTGAACTGCAGGCTGTGTTAACTCAGACCAGATAGGAAACTAACTTAGTATTCTAAATTATCTATAGTATGTAGAGTCACCACCTTTTTTTCCCCCCAATATTGTTAACAACTGATGGCACTTGAAAAAATGTTGGACATGTTTATTGCAGGAGTTTTCAGTTTTTGCAAAATAAATGATCAAAAATGTAGATTTTTGTCCTCCTTCATGGTCGTTCTGTTTCCATAGAGCTTCAGGACTGTAAACTGCATCGAAAAATGAGTCGACAGTGAGCAAAAATGAGACAGGAACCAAAACTACTGGAGGGTTCAGAGGAATAAACACCTCAGAAACACTTCACCTTACAAAACATGTTGGGCTCCAGGCTGGTATCTATTATCCAACACATATCATTTAAAAATCAGACTAATCTGTTGAGGCTTATTGCACGCTGCTCTGGGTGCTGCCAGCTGAAGCCTGTTTCGTAACACTGACTACACTTGGAGTTTCAACAGCACATTACTCACCAGTGAGTCACAGGATCCTCCTTGAACAGGACGGGACCCTATTGTGCTCTTTGTTCTTTTTTTTTTGTCAGAGTTGCGTCATGTATTAAAAATATTTTTTAGTCCCGGTTGCGTTAAAAAACAATTGGAAATAAATCAAGACATTAAAAGCAAACTTCAAATTTGTAAATAAAAAAAAAAACAGTAAATATACCCATAAAAACTGAGCTGCTGATGTTTATACTCATTTATTTATTCAAGTTGTCGTGCAAGATGCTCGCTGTGTGCCTGCTGACAAACAATACTTGAACTGGTCAGAGTGTAAATATGGACTAAAACATTAACTGTGTGCGTCTCTTGAACCTCTTGTGTATGTGTGTGTGTGTGTGTCTGTATATCCTGTGTATATATGTGTGTGTGTGTGTGTGTGTGTGTGTGTGTGTGTGTGTTGCAGGGACAGCTACAGGAGTGTTTGTCAGCCGTCAGAGTGTGTCTGACTCGGCTAGACAGCGTGATAAAGGTCCAGACAACAACCTCCCATCACCTCTATATCTAACCATTCTGTACTGCTTCACTGTTCTTCTTCGTCTCTTTCTCAGTTCACTCCTTTACTTCTTCTCTTGCTCATGTTCTTGTCTTTTCGTTCCCTCTCTCTGACCTCTTTGCCTCCATCTTTTCCTCTGCTACCAGTGTTAGCTCACTACTTATCCAGCTGGCTAGCTCTACACCTTTAGGTAACACGAGCTGTGTCTCCATGGTGTGTTCTTATTGCACATTTTGACGTATCGCATTCGTAAGAGTTTGTGGAAAAGGCAAAATTTAAAAATATATTCCCAGATTTAAAAAAAAATGCTTAAGAGCATAAAGTTCCTGGTGGTTTACATTTTTCATTCATAGATGGCCAAAATTTTTCTTTTTCTTCTTCTTTTTCTTCTTCTCCTCCTCCTCCTTCTTCTTCTTCTGCTGGTCCTTCTTGTTCCTGTCCTTCTTCTTGTACTTCTTCTTGCTCTTGTCCTTCTTCTTCTTGTCCTTCTTGTCTTTTTTCTTCTTGTCCTTGTTCTTCTTGTCCGTCTTTCCCTCTTTTTTCTCTTTAATCTATTTCTCCTTCTTCCTCTTCTCCTTCTTGTTCTCTTTTGTGTTCTTGTCCTTGTTTTTCTTATTCCTTCTAAGTCTTCTTGTCCTGATTTTACTTTTTCACCTTCTCGTCGTTCTATTTCTTCTTCTTCTTCTTCTTCTTCTTCTTCTTCTTCTTCTTCTTCTTCTTTTCATCCGTCCTCTTCTTCACCGCTTTAAACTTTTAAAGCAGCAGGGTTTTCACTGACGAAGCTGAAATTTGGGCCACATTTTTCATTCAACTTTGAATTAATGCGGAAAAGTCACTGATTACTTTGCAGATCTTAGAGGATAATTTTATTTTTTGCATCCAACATTTAGCACTCTGTGTTTTAGGACCTATTAAATCCTTTTCAGTACTTCATGGTAAAATGGAAGTTTATTTGCCCCAAAGCTGTGCTTTTTGCAACATTAGCAGAGTTTGCGTCAAATTCACTTGACCTTTTCGTGGAAACACAGCTACCGTAGGCCAGGTCGATTAGGCTAAGCTCGGCTACCAAGCGATGTTTCAGCCAGACAAGCAGGAGCTGGTAGAAGTTCGCTAGCAGTCCGCTTCATGTGAGTGAGTGTTTGTGTGTCTGTGTGTCATCTCACGTCTGCCGTTTCAGGCGATTTTGGAGTTTTCTGTCTCTGCAGAGTTGCACTTCGACTCCTCTGTCCTCTCTGGTTTGCCTGTCTTCTGGAGGTTTCCTCACGTCGGTTGGTTGTTTGGCTGAAACACGACAGCTGCCTTGTGTTGTTGTAGTAACAGAGTGTGTTCTAATGGCACAGCTGGTTGTCATGACTACACAGAGCTGCTCCCACCCCTCCATCACTGCATCTCCCGACTGCACCTCCGCCCCTCGAACCCCCTTTTTGTTTTTTCCTCTAACCCATCCACCAGACATCCTCGTGCAAGCTCCGCCCCGCCGGCACAACCGGAGCCCCGAGTCCTGGGCCGAGTCCCCCGGTAGCGACGACACCCGCTTCCAGAGACATCCCTTCCCGCTTACTGATGCGTAAAAAAACGACATTTAAAAAAAGCTCTGTACATGCAGTTTAATCCCCAAGTTTACGTGTACGTCGCATCCATTTTGCAGCTTGTTTTGTTTGTAGCCAGATTACGTGGAGATCTTCTTTGGCATGTTAACGCCAGGAAGCATTTGAAAGTGCTGTTTGTCTGGCATCTGCGCCAGCTTGAGCAGCTCAGGAGTCACAGTGGGAGAAATCCACACATGAATCCTGCTCAGACGTAAACACAAGCTGGAGTAAACACACAAGAAGAAGAAGAAGAAGAAGACAGGAGGAGGAGGAGGGCTGACTGCACTGATACATCTCCTCAAAAACCTTAAAACAAGCACAATAATATGACTTCATCAACTCAGTGTAGAAATGAAGAGCTCCTCAGAGTAGTTGATGTAAATTGAGCGATAGGCCAAATAAAGAAAGCTGTTCCTTGAACTGGAAACCTGCCCTGAACTCACAGTTGTGTGCACACGTTATATAGAGAAGCAGTGAAGCGAGTTCAGTCGTGACAAACAACTTTTTCATCAGCTGATTCTTGTTTACCTCTTTGCTTGCTCAAATCCCTTCTATAGGGCCGAAAAGTGGCTCCTTAGTTCTATGACCTCAATTACAAATGCGTCTCAGAGAAACCGAATCAGAGGACACTTCCATCGGAGTCATATGACGGACAGAAATAGCCCTTTGTTTCTCCGTCCGTTAATCTCTCGGCTGTTCACGTCTCTGCAGGATGCGTTTGGAGGATCTTAGTGTCGTCTGCAGCAGAGCATCAGTTTGATGATCTCGAAACCTGCGGATGATTCGACTCAGAATCGCAAGAAGAAGAAGATTTATTCGTTACAAACACACACAAACACTGTGGAGTTCTTTTTGTTTTTGCACATCCCAGCTTGATGCAGAGTTGAGGTCAGTTTATGGCCTCAATGGTGGCATCTTGGCAGCACCAGGGGTTAAATCTTCCCATCGGTAATCCAGAGACTTAACCACGAGCCACTGCTGCCCCCTCAAGGCTTCAGTGTAGTGGTCGACCGATTTGGTTTCAGGACCGATATTGTGTCCAGTTGTTGGTGATCAAGGAGACCGATAAGCAAAATGAGAATCTTGATTTCAGATATTAGAATGAAACAACCTCCAAAGCTTCAAATCTTGCACATTTGATAAAAAGAAGACTTTTAAATATGTATTTGGTTGGCTGTTTGTCAGGACATTGCGGAGACCAGGGTGACTACAGACAGATAGCGGTGGCGTTTTGTTTTCATGCTGATAATTGGTCGACCCCTGCTTCAGTGCAGGACATGCGTTAAACTGCGCGACTGAACCAGGATTTAAAATGTTGTATTAAATGTTGTAAGCCTCGACTAAACTCTCTCCAGACGCCACAGACGTAGCGTTGTTATTACAGTGCTTTCTAGTCCGTTTACTAGTTCCTAGGAGGACTCTGTTCTATATATGTACTCCCAGTAGATTGTGACATACTCTGTGTCTGAGCACTGCCTGTTTTTTTTTTTTAAAGTAGCTGCTGCTTGGATGCAAGTTTTTGGACGACAGACGGTTCGCCATGAACTCTTGGGGAAATAACAAAACTGGCATCACACAGATCGTGGAAAGTGCAAGAACGTACAAATTCACGCGCGACGACATGATAAAGCTAATTAGACGTTTTAAATCTGTTACTCAGTGAATGTTGGCACAGTATCGCAAATCAAATGAGAAAAATCCCAATCAGATATTTGCCTTATTTCCCACCTTGTCCGAAATAAATTTGACATTGTAATAGTTGCCGTGGTTACCCAGTCGAAGGGGCGGAGCTTGCCTCGATCACCTGACTAATACAAACTCGCTGCTGCTGCTGCTGCTGGTGTTGTTGTTCTCGTTTGTTGTCGATGGTAACCCGTAGCAACCAGCCCTCTGATCCCGCCCCCTCCTCATCGCTGTTCCTGTCCTGTATCCCACGATGCTTTGCAGGAGCTGAGGGAGATCCACAGCCGGCAGCAGCGGCAGAAACAGAAGGAGCTGGAGGGCGACACGCACACACTGACGCACACACACCCTCACATACACCCTCCCATCGACAGGAAGTCGGCCGAGCTGCAGGAGAGCAGGTGAGGACCGACGATGGCGTCCAGTGCAAAGTTTAGTGTCCGTTATTGCACCAAGGTGAGAGTTTGACGCGTCCTCCTGCAGGTTGTCGTCGGACGAAGGCGTCGCCTGGAGGGATGAAGCAGGAAGTTCTGCTCCCAAAGCTCCCAGCCCGCCCTCCGTCTCCGCCCCCCACGCCTGGTTGAACAGAGTGACCCAGGAGGAGGAGGAGAGGAAGAGGAGAGGCATGGAGGACGAGGAGGAGGGCAGGAAGGCGGCAGGGTCCATAGAGGACAAGGAGGATGAGGGCAGAGGCAAGAAGGACATGCAAGATAAACTAAACAAGCTGTTCAGCCAGCCGGCCGACCCCTGGGCTTCAGCAGGTCAGTTATGATGGTGTGCAAGCATGAACGGTAACAGACGATGTATGTGATCAGAGTTTGGTGTAACATGATTATTATCTTCAGCTGACACTTTTTCATGGACGTATGTAAATCTCAGCGTGGTACCATCACTTAGCCCTCTGAAGCTCAACAGGTTTCTGGATGTATTTTGTTCGTGTTTCCTCACCGTGATCTCATTTTAACTGCAATAAGTCCAACAGAGCTACGAAGAAGAAGAGAAAACACATAAATATCTTCTGTGCAGAATGATACAGTTAGAATGACAGAAATCATTATTTTAAAAAAATCAATAAATGAAGTCATTAGATGCAAAGTTTGACAAAATCTGTTTTAAAAAATTACATTTTCGTGCCATTATGTGCCCTCAAGTGTTGCGACTACTAGAAAAAAAAAAAGTGATTCTACATACTATAGGTGCTTTTTAACTTTTTAAATGCAGACAAACTTCATACTAACATTTCTGTCTCTGCTCTGTGTGAACGCTGCCTGCAGTTCAACTGAAAAGTCCCTGAACTTTTGTAATTTCAGTGTAGGTAGCAGCCGAGACTGTCATAATGTATTAGTTTTGTGCAGAATCTGGAGAAAACAGTTCACTTCTGGGGAATTTTTAATGAAACCTGTAGAATAAATTTTATTTTTTAATAAAATATCATTCTTTTGAGGTTGTATTTGGCGATTTTTACATTTTTTTTTACAATGGAGCTACATACCACAGCTGAGTCATTCAAGCACCGTCATGAAAGTAAAAATCTCAGGGTTTTTTTCAGTTTTTACAGTTTGTGGCTTCAATAAACTCTGTAATTTTGGTGTTTTCTTTTCCTTTTTTTTATGCCTTTTTTTTTTCTCTCATTGAAAGACTACCATGAGCTGACAGCAGCAGTTATGCAACACATGTCGCCCCTTGATGCTTCTCACTAAAACAAGACATTTTTTAAAGAGTAAATAATCAAGTAATACACATAAAGCTGTTGTCGTGGTGATGTGTGGAGGATAAACTCACAGTCTGAGGAAAGAAACTGCCTCAAAATCTGGTTGTACGGCAGCAGAACGAACAGTTTGTGGCTCGGTGGATGTTGTTTTTAACCCTCCTATTATCTTTGGGGTCAATTTGACCCCGTTAAATGTTTAACATCTCTAAATAAGTCATGAACATCATTTTTTTCAGTTTTATTTAAAGGGCTATTTACACATAAACTTTGGTAACAATTTTAATTATGATATTTTCTGAAGGTTTAAATTGCTGGGGTCAAATTGAACCCGAGGATAAAAGATGTCAGTAAATTTGAAGGTAATAGGAGGGTTAAGCATCCAGATAGTTCATCTCTTGATTCCAGTGTTACTCAATAAATGGTACAGATGATATACTGGGCAATTTTAATCAGCCACCAAGCAGAAATTAATTGATTTGTGGAATCAACGAGTGCGTTCCAAGCACATGTTTTCTTGGAGTTTGACCAACAGATGATAGCAGTTGTGGAATCTGGTCTTCTATCACAACGTTTCTGTCTCTTTGTGTTTATTAGCAGTAGAAAAGACTCCGGTTCCCAGCCTGTTCGACCAGAAGGCTTCGGCCGGCAGCTTCGAGCAGCAGCAGCAGCAGCAGCAGCAGCCGGTGAAGGTGGTTTACTACCGAGCTCTGTACCCGTTCGACGCTCGCAGCCACGACGAGATCAGCATCGCTCCCGGAGACGTAATCATGGTATGTCGAGTGCACAAAACTCAGCCCGCGACACACAGAAACACAAACACTCACAGATTTTCTTGCCTCTTTTGTATTTCCGTGTGTTTTTGTGTTAATTCCTCCTGTGTGTATGTGTGTGTTTCCTCTCCGGCTCTATCTGAAGCGAGTGTCGGACTGTGTGGTGTGTTGTTTTAACTTTCTCCTCTCTCCTCTGCTGTGCAAACTGAAGGTGAAGGGGGAATGGGTAAGTTCTTGGCCCCGCCCAGTGTCGTGCCTCCACCAATCACAAGCCAGAAATGCTCGCTGCTCGTCATTGGTTCATCTCACGTCATCTAAATGTTCATTCATTTACCAGTGGATGAATGTCTGTGACTTTTATTTTTATTTTTATTTAAATTAAATCATCACAACCAGATTTCTGAATGTTGTTTTCAAGGTCAATGTGAAAAGCTGTGAACGTGTGAGTTTCAGTCGACTTCAAGCTGCTTTGCGCAAAACATAAAAGCTGTTTTTATTACCATTAATATCTCCATAAATAAACTACACAAATAAGATAAGATTTCCTCCAGCTGGCAGCTTTTTTTTCTCTTTTCTTTTAAATGTATTTCATTTTTTCGCCACACATCTCATAATCACTCAACACACAGGTTTAACCCTCTGAACTCCAAGCTGTTCTTATTTACTCCTGTCTCATTTTTTCTTCACTGTGGCTCATTTTTCAACTCTCAATATAAAAACTTCCACCTCTAGAGACTCAGAAATGTCTTCTCTGCATAAATCAGAAAAAAGAAAAATAGAATTTATTGATTGTTTATTTTGCAAAAATTGAAGAAAAAAAAAAATCCCCCTGCTCTTTGCTTTGTGGAAACGCTGCCTTCAATTTAGCTGATTTTTTGTCACACGACTGCTGGTTGCAGCTGAGTCACTGACGGCTTCACGGTTGCATCGAAAAGTGCAGAATTTATTGTTTTTGACCGAATGCAGTTCAAGCAAATTGTTTACTTTTGGCGAATTTTTAACTGAGACGTGTAGAATAAAGTGATTTTTATATAATGCAACATTTGTGAGCTCAGATTTTCCCGACGGAACGACACATCGCCTACGAGCAGTTCAAGAACCGTCAGAAAGTTGAAAATCTAATGTAATGTGTAAAATCTTTTTGTTTTTTTACAGTTTGTGGCACAAACTGTGTAAATTGGGCATTTTTTAAAGGTGACATATGTTTCAAACTGACATATTTTGAGGGTTCAGAGGGTTAAATTCACAATGTTTTACCAAACATTGGTAATGCAATTTATTTTCTTTTTCACCACCGATAAAGTCAGCTGGGTCTTAATCAGAGTGTTTGCTATGCGCCTATTAATTGCACTTTACAACAACAAATATAAAGGGCAGCATAGTGGACCGTGAGACAGGAAAATAATGGAATTATACTTTACATTTTTATTGACAGCTCCAGGTTTCGTTGTGTTGTTTAAACAATTACTGAGTCAGATAATTAAAAAGAGCATTTATTGTCATACAAGCCAGGTTAGATAAGAAATGACATTCAGTGCAGCATTAACAGTTTAAATGTCAAGTTCACGTGTTGTTTCTCTCACTTGTCGACTAATTCCACTGTGAACAGCTGCTGCTGCTGCTGTTGTTGTTGTTGTTGTTGTTGTTGTTTACGCCGCTGTTCTGTTCTGCCATGAACCTGAACACATCTCTGGGTGCTTTTCCTGATGCTACATGTCGTCTCTCCTCCTGTAATCTGTAAATGCTTCCCCTTGTAGAGCCCTGTTCTGCACCTTTTTGTTGTATCCTGATATATTTGGTGTCTCTGAGAATATGTTTACATGCTGTAATGTTCAAAAATGACATGCAGCGTTGGTCGATAGCTCCAGATCTCTAAGTGTAGAGAGGTGTAGTTGTAAGAGAAGTGGCTCTCGTGAGGAATTCATGGCAGGTTTGAGCACCAAACTAAACGAAGTTATGCAAATGTGGTGTAGATGAGTAATGGAAGTAAAGCCTCGACTTCAAATGAGGTGTTTCAGGCAGTTTTCTGTGGGAGAGACTTATTAGATGCACCAAAAAACAGCTTTATAACACAATGAAGGAGATAAAACCACAAAGAGGTCATTAAAATCACCTGGAGGTGCTCCGAGCGAGGAAACACAAGTGTATGTTATCTTGTGTCCTCCCTGGGAGGAGCTAAAACACGTTAGCATGATGAAACGCCCCCTCAGCGTCCCAGAGCTCCGTCCTAACCCCGCCCCTCTGCTCTGATAGGTGGATGAGTCCCAGACAGGTGAGCCCGGCTGGCTGGGAGGTGAGCTCAGAGGGAGGACCGGTTGGTTTCCGGCCAACTACGCAGAGCGGATACCGGACAGCGAAGCGCCAATCAGCCTGCGAGCCACCGCCTCGGCCACGCCCACCTCAGCCCAGCAGCCAATGACGACGCCTCCTCCAGCACCAGGACACACCTCCTCCTCCACGTCGTCTGCAAACAGCAACTGGGCCGACTTCAGCACTACGTAAGTCCGGCTGAGCTGCACTGATGTCGAACAGTTTACTTCTTTTACTGACTCTCAAACGAGACGTCTGCGTGTGTTTGCAGATGGCCGTCGAACACAGCCAGCCAATCAGACAGCGAGGGGTGGGACGCCTGGCCGACGTCTTCGACCAGTCAGAATCCGTCTCTGAGCGTCCCCTCGGCGCAGCTACGGCAACGCTCCGCCTTCACGCCCGCTACCATGACGACGGGTTCCTCTCCGTCTCCTGTACTGGGACAGGTAACCAGTTCACCTCTGAGTTTCTTTGCTCCCGTCACATGTTTCTTCACTGTGTAGATTTGGTTAATTTTCTTGACAAAACCGAAAGCCACGATCACGATTACTTCAAGAAAGTTAGAAGTCCAAGGATTAGTTCTGCTTTTACAGCTTCAGGCTCTGTTAGATGGTGTATTTGGGTTTTTTTTTTAAAGATAACACACCTTTCATTTTGGGGTTCAGAGGGTTAAACTAAAAGAATAACTGAAGTGTAATCTGACTGTAATTCTGTTTGTCTGTCAGGGAGAGAAGGTGGAAGGTCTTCAGGCTCAGGCTTTGTATCCCTGGAGAGCCAAGAAGGACAACCACCTCAACTTCAACAAGAATGAGGTGGAGCTCAGCAGATTTGTTCTTCGCCTGAATCTCACGTGCTGTAATTATAGTTTTGTTAAATCCTGACAGTGTGAATGTTCTCATTGATGCAGATAATCACAGTGTTGGAGCAGCAGGACATGTGGTGGTTGGGCGAACTGCAGACCGGACAGAGAGGCTGGTTCCCCAAAAGTTACGTTAAACTCATCTCAGCCACGATGACGGTGGCGCCTCCCGGTGCAGCAACGCGCAGCAAAAACACGAGGTGCGTTTAAAAGCTGCATCACATCGCTCGTGTTCAGTGGGAAATACTGTCTGCTTTCACAAACTACAGACCGATCAGAGAGGCAGAGTTCTGCTGGCAGGTTGATGACAAAACCTAAAAGCTCATCATGTTCCTTCTACTTACTGGTTGATTCTGGTTGTTTGAGGAGCTTCATCTAGCAAAAAAGTAAAATCAGCATAAATTGATTGTGTGAAAAATCTCCTTTTAGAAAAAGTTTCATGAAAAGATTTAACGGTGATTTTTGTGGTAAAGTAGCTGAGCTTTGGGATCTTGATACCAAACATTGTGATTTATTTATTTTTTTGTAAACATAACTGATGTAATTCTGATTATTTATAGCAAGTATTTCTGTCTCTCGTAGTGAATCTGGAGTTTCAGAGAGCCCCCCCAATGGAAAGCGTCCCTCCCCCTCCCCAACGAAACCCTCCGACTCCGGAGAAGGTAACGAACGTCGATGATCACGTTTTTTAGCTCAGGTGGATCCTCGTCACTGACTCTGTCCTCGTGCTCCCGTACAGAATACGTCGCCATGTACACCTACGAGAGCAGCGAACAGGGAGACCTGAGCTTCCAGCAGGGCGACGTCGTCATGGTGACCAGGAAAGAAGGGGATTGGTGGACGGGGATGGTCGGTGGGAAGACCGGCGTCTTCCCGTCCAACTACGTCAAACCACGAGACTCAGCGTCGGAGGTAAGAGCTCGGTTAGACCTGATCAGGTTGGACTAGAAAAGGAAATCCAGATGTTTACATCAGTAACTGTTGATCTGAATTTGTGTTTTCAGTCTCTGGGACCAGCAGGGAAGACGGGCAGCCTCGGGAAGAAGCCAGGTGAGCCTCCAGCTCTGCTGCCACTGTTTAATGGCTGCTACGAAACTGTACTAAAAGTCTAATCTGTGTAAAAAAAAAAGAAACATGACATTATCTTTCACTTCACATATCTATGTCTGTGTATTTCAAACTTGAAGCCGTTGATAACGGAGATCAGCTGACTTGTGTTTTAACTGAAACCATGAATGCAGATTTTTAAAAAACCCTCAGGTGCTACAGGAGCAGAACTAACCTTCTTCTTCTTGTTCTTCTTCTTCCTCCTCTTCTCCTTCCTCATTTTTTCCTTTGTCTTCTTCTTTGTCTTCTTATCCTCCTCTTTCTTTGTCATCTCCTCCTTCGCCTTCCTCTTCCTAATCTTCTTCTCCTTTGTCGTCTTCTTCTTCTCCTCCTTCTACTCCTTCCTCTTCTTCTTGTCATTCTTTGTCATCTTCGTCATCTTTTCCTGCTCCGTCTTCTCCTCCTTCTTCATCTCCCCTTTTCTTGTCCTTTTTTTTGTTTTCTTGGACGTCATCTTTTCTGTTTTCTTCTCGGTTGCCATCTTCGTCATCTCTTTGTTTTTTCCTTTTCTCCTCCTTCACTTTCTTCTTCTTAATCTTCTTCTCATTCTTTTTCTCCCTTTTCTTCTTCTCCTTCTTCTTCTTTTTCTTGTCCTTGTCCTTGTCCTTCACCCGTCCAGAGATCGCCCAGGTGATCGCCCCCTACAGTGCGACGGGAGCAGAGCAGCTGACGTTGGCTCCAGGACAGCTGATCCTCATCAGGAAAAAGAACCCTGGCGGCTGGTGGGAGGGCGAGCTGCAGGTACACCAACACAACACTGAAATACCTGCAGACGTGTTGTCTTTGATATGAGGTGGAAAATAAACTCCACAATGTCCTAAACAAGTTCAGTTACACTGAAAATCTGTTGGAACATGCATCCAGCAGCTCTTTAAAGAATATATGACACATTTGGGGTTAAGAGGGTTAAATTATTTACATCCTCTGAGAAAGCACATCTTGTTGACTAATGGCTGATTTCACGCTCTGTTCTTATTCGTCCAGGCTCGAGGGAAGAAGCGTCAGATCGGTTGGTTTCCAGCCAATTACGTGAAGCTGCTTAGCCCCAGCACCAGCAAGACAACGCCCACAGAGCCAACGCCTCCTAAACTGGCTCCTGCCAGCACAGGTATGCCGACACAAGTCCACCCAGTCTACCACAACTCCTACCACAAAGAGCCTTGAGTGGATGACACAATATGCTCTTAAGGGAGTGTTGTTATTGTGTGAGCATCATGTAGGTGCATCGTTATTATAAACAGCCGTAAGGAAAGGAGATGGGGGTGATTAATAACTGTTATTTATTTAATAGATTCAAAACATATTGACCAGTAAAGCAGAAAACAAACGACATGCATGTCAGAAAATGTGTTTGCTGCAGTACCTGTTTGTTCCACCGGGTGGAACCTCAGAGTGTTTCATGAGGTGGAGTTACAGGTGTGTTTGCTGACCTCCCAGCTGTCTAGCTGCTGACTGTGGCAGTTGTGTTGATACAATCTGCAGCTTCATGTTGTTTAAAGGTTTCTGACTGGTTTAGCTAGTTACCTGAGGCTCATGCTAATGCTAAGCAGGGATTCTACATAGCATAGATATTTATTTACATTTTAGTTTGTATCTAATGCTTGTCTCTGCTTTGTGTAAACACAGCCTGCAGTTCAACCGAGAAGTTTCAGAATTTTTGTCACATGACTGTTGGACACAGCTGAGTCAGTCGTGGTTTTAAAGTTGTGCCGAGGAGCACAATTTTTAAAAATTTTTTTACATAATGTGATTAGAAGAGGGTTTGTTTTTCACACAGTTTTAAATGAGACATGTAGAATGAGGGGATTGTAATGAAATATTGTGATGTTAAGCTGAGATTTGGTTACGTTTTCCTAAAGAAACAGCACATCGTACATGATTCGATCACAATCTTGCAATTATTTCTGCTTTAACAGTTTCTGACTGTTTGCTTTTCATACCTGCTGTGGGGTTCAGAGGGTTCAAGAGACTAAAATGTGAGATTTTACACCATGAATATGCAATTATGAGACTAGGAACATAGAAAAACCACTTTGAAATGCAGTTTATGATACACGTGGACTCACTTAAAGCTGGAAGTGTTGACGTTCTGTCCGTCTGCTGTAGCTCTGTGCCAGGTGATTGGCATGTACGACTACGTGGCGCAGAACGACGACGAGCTGGCCTTCCAGAAGGGCCAGGTGATCACCGTGCTCAACAAGGACGACTGTGATTGGTGGAAGGGGGAGCTGAACGGGAGGGAGGGGCTGTTTCCGAGCAACTACGTCAAGCTCACCACAGACACCGACCCGAGCACGCAGTGTGAGTACGCACAGACGCACACACACACCGCAGCGTGGCGCACACAACACACACAGCAGATACTAAAACCGACATACTAACTCGGTGTGAACACAACGTGGTGTGACACACTCTCTCCTGCACACACACACACACACACACACCCAGAGCCAGGTGTGGAGATGCTGTCCCTCTCTCAGTCTTTGGCCGGTGCGACCTCTCACCTCTCACCCCGACACTCCTCTGGGCCTCTTTGATAACCCCCCGTCATGCACCACCTCTGGGTGGTGTCTGTGTGTGTTTGTACGGTGTGTATGTGCATGCATGCGTGTGCATTAGTGTGCAAGTGTGTTTTTTTTCCCGCCTCCCTGCATGTTTCCCTTCAGCATGATCCACCACAGACTTGGAGTTTGCAGAGCAGCGACTGAACCAGATCTAGACAGATTTGAGACTCCTGAGGGGCTGCAATGTGAAGCAAGTTTAACATGTCCGGGCTTTATTTGTGTTCAACAAAACCTAAAAGCCCAACCAGAGATAATGGTGATAATTAATGTTCTTAGTTAATCAGGTTTTGTTCTTCAAACTCTGTGTAAGCTCTGATAATAAGAAGAAGGCGTTTTAGGCATCACGTTACTCCTCTTCCTCACAAAATGAACCAATCGTGTGCTGCTCAGGATAAACAGGTTGATATAATGGAGAGCTCTAATAAATTTACAACTTTAATGCAGTAAAAAAAAAAGAGAGAGAGAGAAACGCTGGTAGGAAACTGTTACTGCAATATTTACAGCTCTGTTAAAGTTTAAACTTCAGCCATTTAAACATAATATTGTAGACGTGCATTTAGGTCTGACATTGTCTAAAATGAAGGAAATTACTTTTGTTTATTGCAAAGTTACGGTAAAATAAATGTTAATTTTTGAGTATTTTCTGTGTGTTACATAAGCTGCAGTAGCAGCCGTGTATAAGTGACTTGGCTGCAATATTGGACCAAATATAAAAACCTTTTTCTGCATTTTTTCCATCATTTTTAACTCAGTGCGTGTCGCTTCCTGTGCACACAGTGATGCTGCTTCAGTCAGTGCATTGCTGACGTACAGCTCAGCAGGTTTGCAGATTTCATCGTGCTTAAAGGGACACGCTTCTTCCAGACAGTTTTAATCTAAACTCTGAACAGAACCTCCTCTGGAGCAGGTCAGCGGTGCAGCATCCGTTACCATGGTGACCCAGCAGGTTAAATAAGACGAACGCCGTGACTTTAAGCTCAACAGACCTTCTAACACATTAAACTTGCTCCACAGTTTCAGCCCTCTGAGCCTCAGCGTGTTACTGCTCAGTAAACACACGATCAGGTTGAATCTGATGCAGAAGGAATCAGTGCTTCACTTCCTGGAAGATATTTCAGTTCATCTGCTCTCAGTTGGATGACGTGATGTCTGCAGGTGATTTAGATTTGATGAACAAACCAATTACCGCGCGGTAAATGTAGAACGGTTCATCAATAATTGTTTAATTATCACTAAACTTATAAACAATGACTCCAGGACTGTCATTTGGGTGTTTTAATCACATAAACTGATGAATTGTGGCTGCAGCTAAAATATATTTTTTCTTCCGAGTTAATAACCCAAAGAGTTTTAATATATAGTGGTATAAAATACAGAAACGCAGAGAATTTGGAGCGTTTTTGTTTGTTTGTTGACTTAAAGAATCCCCTAACAAAGCTGTTATCCATTAATATTCTGGAAAACAGATTAATAGAGTCAGAGTAGGAGTCGACCAACCATCAGGGCTGGTTTGCAACATTCTGACGATTACTGATGTGGTTTTAGCTTTTAAACAGTTATAACAGTTTAAACAGAAATCCAAAGCAGCAACAAAACTAGAATTCCTTATTGTCGTTGCAACGCGAACAATGAAGTGAAGCAGCAATCAGACAGCAGTTTCTTTTGTTTATTTACACTAAGAAATATGCAAATTTAAAAAATATAATAGAAAAATAGCACACGCGAGTATGACCTATGGAAACAGTGATTATTGGTGCATTAAGAACTAAAAAAAACAATCATTTCACTGAAGATAAATTAGAATATGATACCGATGCAGCTGTATTTAGACATATGTGCAGGTTCTGTAGATATTTTCCAGATTCTGTAAATCTGATCGTGAGTAAATCACTAAAAGTAAAGACCAAACGATAACAGCTATCTAAACGCCTCTCTGTGTAAAAGCTGAACAACTCGACGTCTCTGTCAGGTTGAGTGAATTCAAAGTTCCTCCTGCTGCCAAACATCATGGATTAATCCTGGAGAGCTGCTGATGTTGAGCTTTTCTCTTCAGTTTATCAGATGTGATCCTCCGTCCGACTCGGTCTCTGCTCTGCCTCCTCCAGCTCTACGCCCGGTTAGCCCACACCTCCACACTCTGTCTTGCTGCACGCTCCACCCACCTCTAGCACCCGACTGGTCGTTCTCGTTGTTGTTGTTCTTGTTGTTGTTGTTCTTGTTGTTGTTGTTTTGTTTAGTTGTTTTTGTTGATGTTGTTGTTGTCGTCCTCTCTCTAGGATCATATCATTACCCAGAACCCCCCTCTCCTCAAAGCCCTCAAAGAGACCCACTAGGCCACGCCCACTAGGCCACTCAACCAATGGGACAGCAGCAAGAGGTCACATGACCCGGAAATGGCGCCTCTCCACCAGTAGAAGCCAGAGAGAGAGAGAGACAGACAGACACACAGACAGACTGTAACGTTAAGAGCAGAACTCTGTCTATGCATGGCTCTGACTGGACTTGGCCAAACTCTGTTTATCTAAGGCTCTGGCTCCAGACAGGAGGGAGATCAGTAGTCAGGACTCCTCTCCTCCTCCTCTTCCTCCTCCACTCTCCTCCTCCTCCTCCTCCTCTTCTTCTTCTTCTTCTACTACTGTTCTCCTCTTCTTCCTCTTCCTCTTCTGCTCCTCTTCTACCTGCTCCGAGGTGTTTAGACGAGGAGTGAAGGGAGAAAGGAGGAGACTGAAGGAGACTATTGAGCTCCTTCCCTCCGACATTGGACTGATGCTTTGACTGGATCACAGTGACTGTAAACACACACAAACACACACACCTTAACCGCAAACACACACACACACACACACACACACACACACACTTTAACCAGCCCTGTGCTCGCGTGGTAAAGTGGATAGTGGGTCATTTTGTGGCTTTAAGGGAGATTCTGTCATTAGAATCGGCTCATCCCCTTCCTCCCTCCTTCCATTTTTTATTTTTATTTTTTATTTTTTAACCTCGCTCCCATTGGTTCAGCAGCTTCTCTTCCCACCCGTCAGTCAAAAAGCGCTGGCTCCGCCCCCTACCCCTCACTAACTCCTCCCCCTCCCACAGCTTCACAGAAAGACCCACTATCTGCTGGAGGACACGTCTCAATGTTTGCCCTCGTCGCCTTTTTTTCTCCACCTCTGCTCTCCTCAAAGCCAAAGACTTTTCCTCTACTTCCTGCTTCCTTCCTCGTTTTTTTTTCCCCCCCGCGAAGGAGATGAAGGAGAGGAGGCGAGGCAGTATTGAGATGCGTCCCGCAGCAGCTAAAGGCTACGCCGCAGCCCCGTCGACGCTGCCGCCCTTCTTTCGTTTTTCCTCCTCCCGCCTCGCTTTTCTAGGGCAGGAGGCGAGAAGGCGTAGAGAGCTGCCACTGCTTTAGCGTAGCGGCTAACCAAACCACACAACACGGTACAAAACACACACACACACACGGTTTTTACCCACAGTAGGTCTGAATATGTATTAACTTTAAAGCTCCGTTTCATCTTCTGTTGTTTTTGTTTTGTTTTTTGTTTGTTTACATGTTGTTTTATCTGTTGCTATGGTGACGGGATGCGCTACCGAGGGTCAGACCAAGATTCAGTACCAAAAACACAAACCACAACGTAGGGGTGGAACGATTTGAATCATTCCAGTTTAAAGTTTGACGTTTTGGGGCGAATTAACCCTGGTTAGCTTAGCTTAGCATTAAGTCTGGAAGCATTAAATGGATCACACTAGCATGTTTAGCGTGACTAGCGCACAGATATCGAACTTGTCGCTCGTTTGCTAAGAAAATAAAGAGTTTATTCCCCCAAAATGTCAAACTATTCCTTTAAATAGTTCCGCTTTTTTTGTCTAACTTCACAGACGGGTGAAATGTGAACTTTTTCCACATCGCGACGCACCTTGGAGGCTTTTTTTTGTTTAGCTCATCTGCGATGTTCTTCATCGCGCTGCACTTGCAACCTTGCACAATCTTTTCACCCCTACAACGCGCTGCCGTGAATTCAGACATTTTTAAACCAGAGTTTAAACCAGAACTTCCCAACTGAGGCTCCAGCGGCTGAATCTTTATAATAAATCTGATTTTTTTTTTTTAGCAGCAGCTTCGTGTGCGTCTTTGCCTTTCCCTCCGTTTGTTCCCATAGCAACAGACCAGTATTGTAGGGGTTGCCATATCAGATTTGTATTGTTTTGTTGTTGTTTATTCAGATGACAGTATTGTGATTTTAATGTTTACCCTCGGAAACACAAAACAAAAAAAACCCAACGAGACAATTATCGATCTTTTTATACAACAAGCAATAGAGTTGTTATTGTTATGGATAATATTATTAACCTGCTTGGATCCCATTGGCTCCTCGGCGTGTCAGTATTGGAGGTGAAGCGCTCTGATTGGTGGACGAGTCGAGACCGTCGGCATTTTTTTTCTTTTTTTTGTTTGTTTGTTTTAAATAAACTTGGTTCGTTTTTGGGAGCGATGTTTTAAACCGACTCCAGCGTTCGGGGTCGGAGTTTTTTTGTCAGTTTGGTTGCCGACGGTCGAGACTCGTCGCAGTCGGAGGATTTTAGTTGAGAACAAAGACCAGAACTCGACCAGAACCACGTTTTACGTCACACAAACTCAAACCTATCATCCTGTTACCGCGTTCTGCCACCTGCAGGCGGTTTCATCCCCGTTTCAGGTGGAAGAATCACACGCTTCTTGTTTTTGTTTTCCTTCACATTTTACCATTTTTAACAGAACACTTGTTGCTCAGGAACGTGGCTCTGCTCCAGTCTGGTCTGTTTATAAAGATAATAAAGCTCTGTATGATCTGTACTTAATCTAATGAGAGGTAACGGTCGCTGCTTCGTGTGGGAATAAGTAGCGACTCTGATGATGGGACGAATGGATGAGCAGCCAAGCCAAATGCACCCAGAATGCACTTGGTGTCAGTGAATCGATGAATGAGTGACGAATGGAGTGATTTTATGGACGCGTGGAAACACACACACACAGGCGTGAATGAGCGAGTGAATGAACTGTACAGAATGTTAGCGTAGCGCCGTTAGCAGAAATGTGTCCCGAGGTTTTATTGGTGGAGATTTTTGGTGAAGCGGTGAATCTGACTGGTCCTGATGATTAAACGCTCTGAGACAGACTTCAGTCGGCTGCTCTCGTTTCTCATCCGCACACACACACACCATGTTAGCGAAAACGAGGAAACTTCACACTAGAAGGGCTCGTTTTGGAATAAAAGATACACGTAATTTCACATTTGTGGCCCTGTTTTTGCAGAAAATCTTAACTTTTCAAGTTTTATTGAACCAAATTGCTTCACCTGAGTGTTCAGATCTTATCACCAGCTGCAGTTTTTATCAGTGAAAAAGGCACTTTAATGCTCCAGCACTGCCCCTTAGTGGCCTAAAGGTAACAATACCTCTTGATTTCTGCACAACCACATCATTGTTGAACTCAACTTTTCCCTTGAAGGACCAGAAAAGCTGCTGATAACTGCAGCAGAGCCTGATGACAACAATGTTTCATGTATGAAACGTCTTTAAAACCGTCTACAGGCTCCAGTTTTAGTGCATTTTCTAAGTTTAGAGATGATTATCATTAAATTGATTCTGAATCTGTGTCATTCTTTTAGTTTTTAGTCATAAATATCTTAATAAATGCACATAATCTGGTCACATACTAAATTAAGTGGCAGCTTTCAGAAAAGTAACCTACTTTCTGGATATTATATATATTTTATAGAGTATAGTTTGTGTATAAAGCATCTTTAAATCTTATCTTTCATTAAAGCATCTGACTGAATGATTGTTGTTGTTGTATAGAATATATGTTATACTGATTTGAAAAAAAAAGCGCTTTAACAAGATTGAATTTCCCTTCTGGGATAAATAAAGTATTTTTCATTTCATTTAAAACCATCTACAGGCTGCAGTTTTGGTGAATTTTGCAGCATTTAGGGATCAGCAGCATGAATCTGAATCTGTGTCAAATCTTTCTTTTTTTTTCTTACTTTTTGCATTAAGTTTTTAGTAATTTGGGGAATCATCAAAACCAATAAATGCACATAATCTGGTTAAACAGTTGATATAGTAACAAAGAAGAACCTGCACAGGAAACATGCACTTTTTAGGGCAAGAAATCACATAGTTTGTGAATATTTTGTGCATAAAACCTGCAGATCTCATTAAATTTAGGGATCAGTAGCATTAAAACGAATCTGAATGTGTCAAATTCTTGTTTTCTCCTTTTTTACATACAAGTTTCAGCAATTTAAGGTGTCAAAAGCTATAAATATTATAATAAATTCACGCAATAGGGTTGAATAATAAATAAAACAAAGCTGCAGAAGAGTTAGTTTCTGAATATTTTGTGTATAAAATGTCTTTAAACCCTTTCGAGGCTGTGGTTTTAGTGCATCTCGCTACATTTAGGGATCAGTAGCCTTAAAATACATCAGAATCTCTGTAAATCTTTTTTTTTTCTTCTTTTTTGGATGAATTTTTCAGTAATTTGAGGTGTCAAAAGTCATAAATATCCTAATAAATGCACATAAATACGAGCTGAAACAGGAAGAGCAGATGCCACAGAGGAAAACTGGACTTTTATTTCATTTCTGACCTTTTTTTTTTAAACTGACTGGTTTCACACAATTCCACCGAACACATCACAGACTCTTATCGAACCAGTAAACGTGACAAACTCTCGACTCAAACTCTCGCCCAGAGCCGGCGTGTCGGCCTCAGGTATGTATGCGTTGTTGACGTCCGGCAGCATCATTTCTTCTTCTTCTCCTCGTTGCCGTGCTGGAGGATGTCTGTCTGACGGCGGGCTGCGTGTCTGTCTGTGTCGGTGTGTTTGCGTTTCAGGGTGCGCCGACCTCCACCTGCTGGACATGCTCAGTCCGATGGAGAGGAAGCGGCAGGGCTACATCCACGAGCTCATCGTCACCGAGGAGAACTACGTCAACGACCTGCAGCTCGTCACGGAGGTGAGGACATCACTTCATGCTCTGAACTGACATTTACAGTTGAAACCAGACGTTTACAGACACTCTATAAAAAGACATAAACCTTTTTTTCTCACTATCTGGCATTAAATCAGACTAAACTTTTCCTGTTTCGGGTCACTCAGGATTACCAACATTATCTCTATTTACTAAACGCCAGAATAATGAGAGAGAGAATGTTTTACTACTTTCTCTAAATCCAGAAGTTTACATCCACTAAGATGCCTTCAAACTGTTTGGGAAAGCCCAGATGATGATGTCACAGCTTTCAAAGCTTCTGATTGGTTAATTGACGACATCTGAGTTAATTGGAGGCACACCTCAAACACGCTGCTGCCTTGTGTGACGACATGGAACATCTAAAGAAATCAGCCGAGATATCAGGAGGATATCTTCTGGTCCACCCGTGGATGCAGATTATTAGTAGAATTTAACTGTTGTCACCCTCTGAAGCAGCTTGTGGCCGTTTTTTGCTCCAGAAATATTACATAAAGCTGAAAGAGATGAAGATGATTTATTTTACCAACATGTTTAGGTGCCCACGGCTGCCACCAATGCTGGAAAATCAACCACATCATATAAATATTTAGCATTTTTACATTTATGTCCATAGTTTTCTGCAGTTCAACCTTAAAAAAGAAATCCCTGAATTTTTGTAACGTGACCGTCGATCTCAGCTGAGTCACTCGTGGCTTTTTATTTATGTCACAGAGTGCAGAATTTTTATGTTTTATGTTTTTGTTTTTTTACATAGATTGATAGTTTTTTTACTGTTTATTTAGAATAAATATGCACCAGATCATTCAGAATGAAATCCTGGTTCACAAGGGCTGTCAATGCAAGAAATATTTAAGAAGAAAAAATAAAACTGATCACACAAGATAGCAGGAGAGTAAAACAACTACATGAAATACAATAAGCCGCTGCACATGACTATTGGGACACACCAGTAAAGATCACAGGATGATTCTATTCCAGTTCGACCAGTAAACTGCTGTTTTCTCACAGTAATGTTCCTGCATGTGTGTCTAGATCTTCCACAAACCTCTGCTGGAGTGCGAGCTGCTGACGGAGAAGGAGGTGGCCATGATCTTCGTCAACTGGAAGGAGCTCATCATGTGCAACATCAAGCTGCTCAAGTAAAACACCTCAAACCAAAGCATCGGTCGACTTAAGCAGGCAGCTCGAATGTTTCAGTTTGACTGTTTATTCCTCTGACTGATGAGACAAGAACCTTCATGTCCTTAGTTCTGATTGATTGTGTTAGCGTCTAATTATCACCTCGGATGAGGGCAAAACAGAAAACCAAGATTTACTGACCCGTTGTGTTTCATGCAGAGCTCTGAGGGTGAGGAAGAAGATGTCGGGCGACCGGATGCCGGTGAAGATGATCGGCGACATCCTGACCAACCAGCTCCCTCACATGCAGCCGTACATCAGGTTCTGTCCGTCGTCAGTCTGCTTCTTTAAAACGCCAGCAAACGTTAAAACGTCTTCTAACCTTGGGGTCCATTTCTGGGTTCAGGTTCTGCTCGTGTCAGCTGAACGGAGCGACGCTGATTCAGCAGAAAACCGACGACAACCCTGAGATCAAAGACTTCCTCAAGGTAGGAGACGTGTTGAGCTGTTATCTCGGCTCTTTTTAAATGTAGAACTACTTTGAGCTGCATTGTTTTGGATGAAATAAACTTTTTCTGTCTTTCTAACAACTGTTACCTGAATAATTATGGTTAATCAGTCTGTGGTAATCTTTAGTCTTATGTTATAATAAAATATGCAGCATTAAGTCAGACTTTTACAGCTGAAAGTTTGAATTCTTGCTGTTCAGAGCACAGAAACTCCTGAAAAACAAGCTCTTTGTCTCCATTTTTACTTCATTGGTTTGTAAAAAGGTGTAAAAATGCAAATTAAAGTGTTAAATCCACGTGTTCTGTGTTGCAGCGGCTGGCCATGGACCCCCGGTGTAAGGGGATGCCTCTGTCCAGCTTCCTGCTCAAGCCCATGCAGAGAGTCACCCGCTACCCTCTCATCATCAAGAACGTACGTAGCCGACGCTCAGACGTTCACCTGAACTCTCACACGTTCATCTACTTCCTGTGCGAGCTCGTTTCTCTGTTTTCTGATCGATCCGTCTGCTTCAGATCCTAGAAAACACTCCAGAGTCTCATCCGGACCACAGTCATCTGAAGGCTGCTCTGGAGAAGGCTGAGGAGCTGTGCTCTCAGGTGAACACACGAACACTCTGGTGAAACTCGCTGGATGTGTGTGAGGTTTTTACTGATGGTGTGTTTGTGTGTTTTCAGGTGAACGAAGGCGTCAGAGAGAAAGAAAACTCTGATCGTCTGGAGTGGATTCAGGCTCATGTCCAGTGTGAAGGACTGTCAGAGGTGAACCGCAGCAAACACACAAAGAAACAAACTGTTAGACACGAAGGAACCACAGTTCAATGATGATACACGTTAGTTTAAGTCATATCTGATGTGAACAGCAGCCGTTTGGTGTCAGCGTTTCCCTCACAGTCAGATCTTCTACTGATCTGTAATAATCTCTCTTTTCTAACCGGAAACTCAAACCAGTCTCTCTCTTTTCTGTCCTGCAGCAACTGGTGTTTAACTCGGTCACCAACTGTTTGGGTCCGAGGAAGTTCCTGCACAGCGGGAAGCTGTTCAAAGCCAAAAGCAGCAAAGAGCTCTACGGGTTCCTGTTCAACGACTTCCTGCTGCTGACGCAGGTCCGTCTGAGACACGAAGCTCCGGCTTCACTTTTCTGTTGTTGTTATTGAGCCTTGATTCAGGACAGGTGTTGCTTTCTGCAGGTGTGATGTCGGCTTCGTAGGACAAACTGTTTTTAGGTCAACGTCCTCTCTGTAGCTGAAACCGGTTTCTTTGTGCGACCAGATCTTCTCTTTCAGGGCTTCTTTGCTCATTTTATGTCTTTTAAATGAAGTTTTAAGTCTCAGTGCATCCCAGAACCCTTCAATCAGAGTCAGATTCTTGTAGATTAATCATCAAAAATTAGAACGGTGCACATTTTCTTTTGCATTAAGCAGCGTAATGGTTGTGATGTGATGTGTGTGAGCTAGTTTGTGTTACTTCACATCGTCTGTGATGGACTGTGTGTGTCTGTTAGAAGCGT